GGTGTACTCATACGTATTCTGTTCTAAGGCTATGCTGTTTGTAACACTAATGCAGAGTGGTTATAGTGAATTTGAGAAATAAACGCATATGCTGAGAAATTGGTACAAATGTTTTGCATAGTATTTCTGTATTTGCACCTTCAAAAAGCAGTTTGATTAAAAAAAATAAAAGTTTGCTGCAGCTGACTCCAGTTTGTAAATTTTCAGATTTAGATTATTAAAGGGTTGGGGCCTCAGTTGCACATTATTTTAATTGTGGCTCGGATATTTAACATTGTCATAGTTCGTCAAAATTGAACAAAAACAACAGCAAATGACAACTGTAAGTGATGAATTCATATTTTACTTAATCTGACCTGTAGTTAAAATCCCATGTTTTTTTGTTATTGTTGTATGAAGCCAAAATGAGTTTTTCACTTTTGTGATCTGCAACAAGTAAATGTTTGTATCTTGCACCTAGAAAACTACTTGAACAATCAATTGGATTTATAAGAGTTGACTGGGTGAGTTAAACAGTAAGTGGTACCTTATTGTGTTGTAAGGAAACATTGATTTATGGAAGAATTGAAATTGAGAGCAATGTAGAAATTTAAAAATTGTTGCGTTTTGGTCTTGATGTCCATTTTGTATTTTCTTGATTGCCTGAGTTATGTGCCTTTGAACCGACAGTGAGGATGAATCTTTACTGACTTGGCTCCATTTTGTGGCATTACTTTTATGAATTGATCCATTTCTCACCTTGTCTGAACACACCTGTCTTTGCAACATATTGATTCACTTTATTGGTCAGGTTTCTCTGTGTGAGCAGCACAGGTGGGCGTGTGCATCTTCATGTATGGTTGTGCAGCCAGCTTCACACACACAAATGCAAGTTCTTCTGGAACTCAACTGTAGTTTTGTGCTCAGAGCTTTTCCTGATGACTTGTCACTAATTTCTGGTGGTAGGAATTTAGAAAATTGATCATACACCTAGGCCTGGACAATATGAAAAAATCTTTTTTCACATCCGTCAGCATCAGTATAAATCAAATCACTCTTTCTGTTAAGTGTAAAGATTCCTTTCTGTCTGTCGTTGTGTGGGTATCACACTGGTTGTTTTAGGGAGACCATCAGCACTTGCTCGGGTCTGGGATTGTAAAGTCTTGCATTGTGTGTGCTCTATAGGATGGCACTGCTTCTTTTCAATCATGTCCCTGTCTTTTGACCCTTGGGCTGTGTCCATTGGAGTGTCTTCTTCGATAACACTTCCGCTTGAGTTTTGGTTAACATTCTCTGTGATCTTTTTCTCTTTTCTCTCATTGCCACTCCTGACGTACTGGCGTGCATGGCTGCAGTAGCTCAAACATTAGCACGTGTGTTGCTGCCGGCTGCTACTCCTACGCTCTGTGCTGTGTGTGTGTCAATCCAGCCTGTTGTGGCTGTAACTCTATTCCAGCCACACGATTGGTTTGGCTCATTGACTATTCATGTTGTCTGTCAAAACATGGATGGAATGAGTTCTATTGACGTTGTATCGAACATGTCTTATTTTTATCGAGATAAAGTTATTTAGCAATAACTGTGTTTATCGTTTTATCACCCAGCGCTATATACACCTTGAAACAGCATTTTTTTTTACTTTTTAACGTCAAGCATGCAATTTTATTTTCACTCAGTCACGCTGGAAAGTGGAGGATTATACCAGCTTAACACACCTGTGTGGCCCTTTTTGTCCTCTCATCACTCTCTACTTTTGACCCCATTGTCTCCTACATACTAAACTTTGCATTTCTTATTCCATTTCAGATTTTGGCTCACTGTTTGATTTGGAGCACGATCTCCCAGATGAGCTTATCAGCTCTAATGAACCAGGCCTGGTCAATGGTGGGGACCTCAACCAGCTGCACACTACTCTGGGAGGAGGACCAGCAGGGATGGGTCCCGGAGGAGGCAGTGGAGGGGCAGGAGGAATGGGTCTTGGCCTCGGCCCTGGAGTAGGTCCTGGCGTTGTTGGCGGGGGCCAGGATGCGGTGGCTAAGCACAAGCAGCTGTCTGAGCTTTTGCGTTCAGGGGCGCCCACCTCGACTCAGCAAGGGCACCAAGGAGCCATGAGCAGCCCAGGGGTCCCCGCTGCTATGGGGCAGCACTTGGCTAACATGAAGGCATCTTCTGGCCAGGGACCTCAGCAGATGATGGGCCAAGGGCAGCAGCACCTCTCTCCTCAGCAGCAGGCTAATATGATGCAGCAGCAGCAACAGAATCCTGCAGCTGGAATGATGGGTAATATTAACAGAGTGATGATGGCAGTGCAGCAGAAAGGCAGTAATGGACAGCAGCAGCCAAGCATGATAGGGGGCCAGGTGATGAATGGCTCCCCCAGAATGGGCTTTGGGAATCAGGGTATAGGTGGCAACAGCAACTTGTTGGCTGAGACCCTACAGCAGCAGGGAGCTGGTGGCCAGGCCGGGATGAGGAGCCAACAACCTGGAGCAATGAGCAAGGTAGGGACACCGCCAAGTATAAAGTCTTATTTTAAAATCAACGGGGTTTAACTCTACCTATCCATAAAGGTTTTGAATACATGGACAACAAGACAGTTGTAAATGTCAAAGGGTGCTGCAGCTCTCTGTCTCCGCTTTAGTATCGTTCACTTCAGTTGTGCTATTTTCCAGTTAATTCTCAGAAACCTTTAATACAGTCTAAAACCTTGAGTTTTGAAACATAAATGAACTAATTTAGACCAGACTCATTTTTTTTACCCATATAACCACAAAGTAGCACTTTGTGTCCATGGCCCTATCCATTTTAACACCGGTGAGCAGCAGCACACTTAAGCTTATATTTGAGGTGGTGGAAAACTGCTTGTGTGATTGACAGTCCCAAGGCAGGGACAGTTTAAATGTTGCTGTGGCTGGCTGCTGTTGCTCAGTGAATCTGGTGGAGGTACTGATGTTTGATGTAGCTGTAGAGGGGATTTGAGGTAGAATGTAGCTAGCAGTAAAAGAAAATGCAGTGGAGCTTGTAAAGATGATGGAAGGAATAGAGAGAAGAGAACAAATATTCAAATTCTTTTCATATGCAGGAAGAAAAGGGGAACTGTTTGTGTTGGAGTGCTGTCCCACACTCTGCTGACTACTGTTAATGTTAAGTCTTGGTTTGCATATGTGTTAGATAACTTTCTAATGGTTTAATTAATAGTGTGTATCTTTCCCTCTCACACGATTCAATCCATATCTTGATACATGGTCCATGATTTTAATCAAAAATTATACAGCAGAATTTGTAATTATACGTTATTTAGCTTCTATTTGAAAAAACTTTACATAAAGTGTATGTATTAAAGAATAGTTAGTTTTCTCAAGGCAGTTTTATATTTCAAGCAGCAAAAATGTAGAAAACATGATGTGTGCTTTTTTTCAACATTAGTAAACATCGGGCATTGGAGCACAGTAAACCTTTACTGCATCCACTTGTTGCTTTACTTTATCATAGAGGGATGGAATGCATTTTCACTGAAATCCTGCTGGCTTGTTGTTGTGTACCTCAGCTTCAGAGTCACTGTCATTTGTTTAAATCCCACATTTTCAGCAACACAGGCACGTGTACTTGCAAATGAAATAGCTTACAGCTTCAGTTACTGATTTCACCTGGGTAGAGTTATCGGCCAATGTACTCTGAAACTAGCTGCTAACACTAGCACTGTTACTTGTCTGTATTGTTTCTATCAGTTCAACACTGCTTCGCCTTGAGTGAGTAGCGAGGTCCGTGGAATAGTGAGGTCTCTGGTACTCCCGGTATACTCAACAGAAGTGCTGCCTGTTCTGCTGTCTCAAAGTAGCTGCTAACACTAGCACTGTTTGCGCCGGCTGTTCTCTTTACTGTGCCCGAAGTCTTTTTTTCCTCTGATTCAGCCTGTCATAGTGAGGCTTGTTGCACTCCCTGTATACTTAATGCAAGTGCTAGATGTTTAGCATGTTGCAGTGTGTTTTATAAAGAATTCCTTGAATGGTTTTGCAGAATCCCAAATGCTTATACACTTTGGCTTTAGGCTAGCTAGTGTGTTTAACAACCAGATGCGTCTGACATGTTTTTACATTGTGGATATGGTTTTTCAGGAAATGCTGGCATCACACATAGGCATGTACACACACACGAGAGGAAGAGCAGAGCAGAGCACAGCATAAAGTAACAAGAAGCTTGCTAGATATTGGTTTATGACATCCATATTGATTTTTAAACTACCATGTTTTTTTTAAGAACTTGGTTCAATTGTGTGGTTTTGGACCAGTGTGGCCGTATCTCTGACATGTTCCATTCATACTGTTTTTCTTTACACCTATATTATTTACATAATATGTTGAGCTGATTTAGAAAAAAAATTTCTCTCTTCAGTAGTGGGTGTCTGAATTGCATTTGAGCAATAGTAATCACAGGTGGTCAAAACAGACATGATTTAATGCTCCTTTGTCTCTGGGAGATGAAAGTGTCCCTTTGACTTTGATGGAGTTCATTGTGCGAGGAATCATCTACAGGGCCTGCTTGTTGAACAGCTATAATTTGAGATCAAGCTGCCAGAACACAACATAACGTAACATACACAATCCAGATATTGTCACTGATAACAAAAGTGAAATGTGGTGGCAACTGCATAGTTAATTGTATCTTTATTTGTCTGATATCCCACTCTTCATTTCTCTTTATCATTCCTAACTTCTTTGTGTCTGTCTTTATTTTCCCTTTTTGCTTCTAGATGGCGATGATGGGGAACCCAGGGGGCCCTTTTGGAGGTCCATATGCAGCACAGGGGACTCCAGGCCTGGGAAGCACAGGGCTGGGCCCTCAGCTCCAGAACAAAGGCCCCATGGCCAACAGCTTGGCCCAGTTCAACGTGGACAAGAAGAACCAGTCCATGCAAGGAATGGCTGCCATGGTAGGGGAATATAAACAATGTTTTCGTCAGAAAAATAGTGTGCTTCAAGTAAAATGTAGTACCTCAACTTGGATCTCTCCATCCACACCCCACCTGGCTTTCTACTGATTTATTCTGCATATATGGTTTTTGTTCATTGGTGGTCTTTTTTAAAAATGCTTAACTTAATTCACCACCCTTTTATTCTCCTCTTCTTTCCCTCTTATTCCCAAATGCTTTTACTCTGACCTCACCTTTCCCTGTTTCCTGTTGGTTTCCGTCTCTTGTCTCATCCATGTCACATCTTCTTATTCCCTACCACTTCAATTACCAGGGCTCCCAGCAGTCGCAGGCAAGTGTAGGTGGTCCCTCTGGCGCACCTGTGGGAGGGGCTCCAGGTGTGGTGTCCAATGCTCAGGCAGGTCTGGTGGGCCCTGGTCCCCAGGGTTCTGCGGCGTCTGCTGCAGCTGGTGCGCCACCCACCGCTGACCCTGAGAAGCGCAAGCTAATCCAGCAGCAACTGGTACTCCTGCTTCATGCTCAAGAGTGTCAGAGGAGAGAACAAGCCAACGGTGAAGTCCGGCAGTGCAACCTGCCCCACTGTCGCACTATGAAGAATGTCCTCAACCACATGACTCACTGCCAGGCTGGAAAGTCTTGTCAGGGTGAGTGGATGAGATGCTACATGCCCCTGCACTCAATTTACAACTGTGATGTGTCCCTTTGTTTGACAAGCAGGTAGTTTGACACAAACTACTTTCTCTTATTATAATCAACACACCAAGTGAAGTCAGAATCACCCTGTATTTATCCTGTTAACAGATCCTGTCTATGATTTTGTTATTGCTTATTACTGTAGAACTCCACTGTTGTTGCCTAATCAAACACCAGTGCAACAGTATAACAGGAGCATGAGAAGCAGGAGCTATATCATGTTGTGGCTACACAGACAGTATTTAACTGTAGCTTATATAGTTTGGGTATCCTGAACAGAAATAAAAAAGATAAAACAACATAAGCATTGTTTTAAGGTTAAATTCCTAACTGCTTTCTGTGTCTTGTTGGGTCAGCAGCACTTTAAGTAACAGGTCAGGCATCTCTAATTTCACTGAATCTATTTTCCCCCTTGAACCCACTTAGTTTTATTCTTTGGTTTTGTGCTTCTTTGCCATCTCTAATATACCTCTGTATTTTGCAACCCTTCCTGTCTGCCCTTTTTCATTCTTAGTTGCTCACTGTGCATCATCAAGGCAGATCATTTCCCACTGGAAGAACACCATGCGAGTCCTGTTGCCACAGAACTTTACCGACCACACAAAAAGAAAAAAGGACAAATCTTTTCCAGATTCTGTACAAACACATGCTCAGTTAGGGCATTCCCACCTCTCTCTCTACTGCATAGATGACAGCTTGATTTTCTTAATCTCCTGCCTCCATTTTTACAGATGGTCCCCTCCCTGACCCATCAATGGTGCGGCCAACTGGACCAAATCAGATGGTCAACAGGATGCCAGGACCAGGTAAAGAACTGCAAGGGACTAGAACACATACGTTTTTTGTTTGTTTGTTTGTTTTGTAGAAGCAAAAATTTGATACATTGTATTTATTTTACCACGCTTGATCTCTTGACTACTATATTCTGTCTTGTTCTTGGGTATTTTGATTTGTTCTCAGGGATTAATTTTGGGAGGATCATTCTTGTTCTTGATTGTCTCTCAAATACTATATTCTTTTTGGTTTTAGGTACTTTGGAATTAGTTTCTCAAGATATGTGTGTGGTGTTTGTTCTTTTGGTGTTTTGTTGCTGCTCTCTTTTGCTGCTGGAACACAGGAATTTCCCCATTGTGGGATCAATAAAGTCCTACCTACCTATCTAAATTATTTGAACTTTAAGAAACTGCACCCTTGTCACAGGAGTATTAGACTACGTTCACACTACAGGCTGAAGTGACTCAAATCCGATCTTTTTGCCCAAATGTGACCCATATCCGATTTCCTTATGACAGTGTGAACAGCACAAATCTGATTTTTTTCAAATCCGGCCCAGGCCACTTTCATATGTGGTCCTAAATCGGATACATATCCGATGTTTTGCAGTGCGACTTCAGTCTGAACGGCCATGTCGCATTTCCTGCGACTTTTATGTTATTGAAATGCAACAGATGTCACAATTCTGCGCTGGAGGAGGCGAGGCCATAAGCAATATTTGTGCTCTCCTCCTTCTTGATGTTCTTCTTCTTATTATTTCTTTATTTCGATTGCACATTAACTGGTACATCGCTACACACATGCTATCACGAGCCGCATCCATTTTTATTTTCGCAAACACAGTACGCTGTGTCTGACGTCACGTCCTCTTCTGCGCATGCGGGTCACCTCAGGGCCGTATACTGTTCACACATGAGACAGATGGCAGTCGCATTTAAATGACAGTGTGAACAACAGCGCAAAAAAATCCGATCTGATTTCGGCAAAAAATCCGATCTGAGCATTAAGACCTGCAGTGTGAACGTAGTCTTAGACTAGAGGCTTCTGATATTTTTTTTTCCTTGGTGTTGACAGTGAGTCATGCTCAGGACACTTCACACTCTCACAGTAGCATAGAAAGCTCACTGTAGCACATGTATAGGAACTATTGAACAAAGTATAAAATGTAGTGGTTTTTCTTTCTTCATATAATGGTATTGTATATGCTGGATCATAACAGTCTTTGTCTTTTGTCAGGTATGAATCAGTTCAGTCAGATGGGGATGCAGGCTATGGGCCAGAGGTCCATGCCCCCTCTCTCTATGGGAGCATCTGGCAACCAGGTCAGTACTGAACACACCATCCTTCACATAGTTTTTTGTTAACATATTCATTAAAAAATGGAGTTAATTTAATTGTTCTGTGTCTGTCAGTCCCCAGAGTGTACTATGAAAGTTGTGCAAGTGTTTTTAAGAACCCTGCCCATACCCTTTTATACCTTTTAGATGGGAATGGCTGGACCCAGGATGGGGCAGCCCAATGTAAACCAGCTGCAGAACCAGTATTTGTCCCAGGGACAGTTCCCTGGTTCAGGACCGGGTGTTGGAACAGCTCAGCCTGGAGCACAGGCAGGCATGGCACAGGTATTGCAGCCTTTAGTTGTTTTGGGGTTTTTTTTCCTGTTGGTTAGAGGTGTCTTAATAGTAGATGTATAACAAATTGCTCTTTAGTCTCTACTAATGGCAGAAGTTTTGAAACAGATTTTTGTCTTAAGCATTCTGTATCGGATGTGATTTTAGTGACAGAGCTAAACAGAATGGAGGTGTAGTCTAAAATGTCAGTGGTTGACCAATCAGGGACACGGTACAGCACACTTTTTGGCTCTTAAATTAAATATAGAACTTAAGAGTTTGTAAAAATGTTTATTTTCTGTAGTCAAACATGCCTATAATTGGCATTGTTGTTATAAAAGTGGAACTAGAGAATAATTTCATGTCATAAATGCTTAATGTTCTTGAATTCTTATGGCTTTTTTAATGTTGCCCTTCTCCTTACCCTCATCGTCTTCTATTCTCAGACACAGATGGGCACTCCTCCCCCCTTTTCAGTTGCTAGTCCTCTAGCACAGCCAGGTTCAACTGGTGGTCCCGGTGGCATCTCCACAGTCGGGCCAATGGCCCCCCAGAGTGTGGTCGGTGGGGTTCCGAACTCAGCTGTTGGAGCTCCATCTTCCTCCATAACGCCATCTAACATGAACCAGCAACCTCACTCCATCCCCCATTTGGGAGCCATGCGCGGCAGCTCACCCTCCCCAGCTCGCAGCCGATCCCCTACCCCTCACCAAACACCCCCTAGACTAACTGGGTCCCAGACCCCACAGCCACACACCCCTAATGCACCACAGCTGGCTATACCTCCAGCCCCCCAGCAGAACCAGCTTGGCCAGGGTCCAGGCTCCAACAAGCCTCTCCAGCAGCAGCATGTAGGTCCAGCGGGTTCGACCACTCCGTCTCACCCAGGACTGGCCTCCAGCTCCACACCGCATGGTGCTCAGCTGCCACACACTCCGGTCAGTGTGATTTGGTCTCATAAATATGAACTTTATAAGCATTTTACCTTATTCCATAGCAGTTACTCACCTCCTTCAGGATTCTTGTTAACTCACGCCTTTTTATATATTACTTGTTCTTTAACATTACACCAGACATTTTTACCATTACCTAAAATGCTCATCCTGGGTTTGTCCCATACTTTACCACTGAGTTACTCAGGCCCTTCATCTCTCTAGTGAATAGTGTCATTTAATTGTTTGCTCACTTTTATGCATCAGTATGTTTATTTGCTGTTTTTATCTCTCTAGTTGTCCCAAAAGGGTTCATTCCCACCAGACAGTCAGGCCCTGACTCCACCCTCCGTCAACAGCCTGGACACTTCTTCTCAGGGGCCACAGTTGGACACCTCAACTGCCAACCTCGACCCCAAAATGGAGGTCAAGCAACAGGACGAGGAGGAGGAGGAGAGCGATACTGGTAGCTGCTCCAAAGGAGGGAAGCTCAGCAACCTCAGAATGGAGGAGAAACCTGTGAAAAAGGAGGAGTGTTCTGGAGAAGGTGGTAAGGGTATTCCCATGGATATGTCAACAGTGCCGACAATGGACGTGAAGATGGAGGACAGGAAGCCGGAGGTGAAGAAGGAGGTCAAAGAGGAAGAGGAGATGTTAGGGGCAGCTGTTCCACAGGTCTCAGTGAAAAAGAAGAGTAAGGAGGACTTAAGTTTTTGTTAGAAATTGTAGGTAGCTGTGTATTGTTGTTGATCCAGATTGGGCGGATTTTCATATTTTACCATGGGTCACTGAAGCAGTGTAAAACTGATTTAAAATGAACAGTTTTATGATAACTCTTTAATGCCAGTTTACTCTCTGATCTCTTCCCAGTCTTCAAGCCAGAAGAGCTCCGTCAGGCCCTGATGCCAACTCTTGAATCTCTATACAGACAAGACCCAGAGTCGCTGCCTTTCAGAATGCCTGTCGACCCACAACTGCTGTGCATACCTGTATGTATCCCTACTCAGACTGATGTCTGTTTGTTTTTCTGCCATATATAAACTGCACTCTCCTTGTCAGTGTTTGGCATTCTATGCATTCTTCTTGACAGTTTGAGATGAAATCCACTGTCTTCAGTGTTGTTGCAGCTTATCTTGCTTTAATTCTGTACAAAATTAACTGCTCGGCTTTGACATATGCACACTGTGTTCTTGCAGGACTATTTTGACATTGTGAAGAACCCCATGGATTTATCAACTATCAAGCGAAAGCTAGACACAGGTTAGTCCTTAATGCTAAATATAGTCCTTCCTGGAAAACGCAGTCGACGTCAGTAAGCTTTCATTAATTTACAAGATTAATCTCAGTGTAGATAGATTTGTTGATATTATGAGTGAATCTGTGCACAAGTAAGGACTAAAAGAAAGAATTTTTTATTTGACAGGTTTTGTTGCAGGTTCCCTCTCTGTCCCCCTTGTTTCCTGTCCATCTCTCTGCGACCCACTTAACGAATAAGGCAAAAGTGCCAGAAAATAAATACATAAATATGACAAGATGTTCAGATTTAAAACATTCTTTTGCTTTTTACATGGTTGGTTTTTCATGCCCATTTATAGGAGATGCTCCAGTGACCCAACAATCTTTAGGTTGGAAAGTCTGATTACTTCATCGTCCCATTCATTGTGTTTTTATTTTAGGCCAGTACCAGGATCCTTGGCAGTATGTGGATGACATTTGGTTGATGTTCAACAACGCCTGGTTGTACAACCGCAAAACATCCCGAGTCTACAAGTACTGCTCCAAACTTGCCGAGGTTTTCGAGCAGGAGATTGACCCTGTAATGCAGAGCCTTGGCTATTGCTGTGGGAGGAAGGTGAGACAAAGTGCTGCATAAATTGGCCAAATGGGTGAAGATGTATGTTGGTGAGGGACAGTTTTCGGATATAAATATCAAAGAGAAAGTGTTGAAGTTAAGATGCTAAGATAGGTAATGTGGGATGGAGCTGAAGGATAATGTTATCTCTGTATTTGTCATAGGTTGGCTTCCCTTTACATTACACTGGCCACTCTATTCACTACTCTATTCACTACAATACATCTTTAAATAAAATGTTTCCTGGTTAAAAATATTTGAACTTATGAAACCAGGAGAATTGTTTCTCCTGGCACTGCTAGGTCTGTCTCAGGTCAACAGAGCCTCCAGTGAAATATAGTGTGATAGGACCTGAAGGCAGGAAAAGCCGATGGCTGCTGATAAACAAAGAAGTCAGAAAGCACAAGGACAATAATACAGTGGAACCTCGGTTTTCGTGATTAATCCGTCAGACGAAAAACTGAATGTATGAAAACTGAAGCAATATTTCCCATAAGAAATAATGTAAATCCAATTAATCCGTTCCAGACACCCAAAAATATTAACAAAAAATACATTTTATAGAGAATAACTGTATTTTTACATACAAAAAACAATGAGAAATAAATATAAATGACTAATGAAATGGATAAATGAACATTTAACATCACTTTTACGTTTTATTGAAGACTCTTGTTGACATATGGAAAACGAGCGAAGAGGGGAGAGGGAGGAGGAGAAGTTATTGTTTGGAAGGGGAATCCCCCTCCATAAGGACTTCATGTATCAAGGCCCTATCTGGGGTTACTTCCCTTCACTCATTTCTTCCGGGAAATGAGTGGCCGAGTCACGTGGGCAGGCGGACAAGTTTGGTACGGACTAATGACGCTGAACCGACCAATCAGCTGTACGAAAACCGAGCGGATGTACGAAAACTGGCACAAAATTTTGACAAAAAAAGTCGTCGAAAACCGAATCATATGAAAAGTAGGGCATACGAAAACCGAGGTTCCTGTGTGTGTGTGTGTGTGTGTGTGTGTGTGTGTATACACATGTTTAAAATACATCAATGCTGAAAATGTGCCTGGATATGGTTGTTTATGAAGGTTTTGACTGTGTTTCATGTATAAAAATTAACCTCCCTTTTTCACATCTGAAAATGGAAGCAGTGCAGTGAGTTCATAGCTAAACTTGGTCCTGGGCATACCACCGCCATATCACATTTCAGTTCTCATTAGACTATGCTATTTTTGGTTTTGTAGACAAATAACAAAGCAGATTGGCTCTTACTATGAGAGGCTGGCTGAAGCGTTCTAACAATGAGACACTGCAAAATAGTGCTGTACTTCAGCTGCGGTAACGTTTTACAAAAGTAAGCCAAACTGAAATTGTCTCTCAGTTCAGCTTCATTGGGCAAGTTTTGCAGCTGCAATATGGATGTAGGTTCATGTCACACAGTAGGACTTGTGGTGTTTACACTTGATTAGCAGAGCTGAGTGTGTCTAAAGGTACTTTTGTTGAAGCTGCTGAGATTAATATGTTAATTTGTTTCTGTCTATTAGCTGGAGTTCTCTCCTCAGACTCTGTGCTGCTATGGAAAGCAGCTGTGCACTATTCCCCGAGATGCTACTTACTTCAGCTACCAGAACAGGTATGAAGGGAGGGAAACACCCATGTCGTAAAGAGTGTAGGGATGACTAGATGGATGGAAGAGGTAAAAAAGAAAAGGTTTCTAGAAGAGATTAATTGGCAAAGATATAAACAGTTTGCCCATAAAAAGTATATGTTGAACTGGAATGTAGTGTGTAACAGAAAGTGAGGTAAAAGTGGTTTTATCACAATGTTCATCTGGTTTTGTTTCCGTAAACGATTCCCATCACTTCATGTTGCCTGTTTTTATACCTTCATGTGGTTCCTAATGCACTGGCATTTTAACAGTTGGACCTCACTTCACATTCTTTGTTGTTTTTTGTTTCAGACACAGCTTAACATAAAATTATGTTAAAGTCTGCACAGGCTAAATAAAGACACTGTCTTGTTTTTCTGGTGCTGTTTGAGCCGCCATTACCGTACAGTAAAGCAGCAACAACAATGCTCAAATTTTCAGCATGTTGACCTGTGTCTTTTAGACACTTGGACTGTTTTTGTTTGTTTGTTTTTTTTTCCCCAAATTTACTCTGTCTGTTCTCTCTGTACACACCAATAACTGCAATGTGAAAGGGCCGACTTTAAAATGAATTGCTTGAATGAGCAGTTGTCTGTGCTTATTTGTTCAGTGTTTGTAATGTGTCCTTTGCTACAACTTCCTGCTTCAGGTCCCTTCTCCTGTTTAGCTCCCATTGATTCTGCTCCTGCTCTGTTAGCTGTGATGGTGGTGATTGTTGTCCAAATTGCTAATCTGTGCTTTGCCTTGACTCTCTGCTGTGTGTTGTCTTGGATGTTTGTCTCATCCTGTTCCTGGTTTGTACGACTTGTCTGTTCTCCCTTCCATTGGCTGTGTTTTCCACATTGGCTTGCTTTTGCCTTGACCAACCATGCACCCACACCCTCCCCATTACTTCACCCTCACCCCTCAAAATCATGACTGGCTGTTGCGATGACGACATCCTGCTGTCCTGCGCTGCTCCTTGCTGCCTTGCCCATGTCCTGTCCCATTTGGTGACTGCCCTCCCATGCGCTGTCTGTGATTGACTGTGCTGTGGGGAACGGCGTAGTTCACCAAAATTTGGACTTCTTGCTGACAGGTACCACTTCTGCGAGAAGTGTTTCAACGAGATCCAGGGCGAGACGGTTTCTCTAGGTGACGACCCCACCCAGCCACAGACGTGAGTATCACTCCATTAAACAACAAAGCTTGTGCATCAGCCTGATGTTTTTGAAACATTACATTTTCTTTTTGTTACTTACCAAGCTCCACTGCTCCAGCCAAGGTGATATTGGTTGCATATTAGTAAGGTTTTTCTAGGTTTTCTTTTTTTTTTTTTTTTTTTTTTTTACATATTGCTCAAAATCTTTCAATATATATAAATTGCTGCACTATCCCTTTATTAAATGAATTTGATGCTCAGTGTGTTCCCATAAAGAGTTTCTTAGAATTTCATGAGCATGTGACCATTATATGTTTTATTTAATATCAGGCAAACTGATAACTCACGTTTCTGTACAAATATAAAAAGTACTGTTTAGAAACTAATTCACAGTGCTGAAATGTTTTGGAATGTAGCTGAAAATTAGTACTGTATCTACATATAAGTACAATTTCTGGATTTAGAACAACCATGCCCTGATCTTTTGTTGTATAGTGGTATTGCCTAATTAACAGTGGCATTACTGTAGCAGTTAGTGTGTTTACATTCAGTCAGAATTTTGGATCCTGGAAGAGTACAGAGAATTGCACAGGACCTTTGAGCTGATCAGATGTGAAACTTTGACATGCAGCATTTGGACAATTGCCTCTTCCAAGTTCTTTCACTGACATACTCCGTCTTAATTCATTTCAGATCCATTAGCAAGGATCAGTTTGAGAAGAAGAAGAATGACACACTGGACCCTGAACTGTAAGTTGATGTCTTGCCCAGTGTCATATGTTAGCAGTGGGAAAGAAGTATTAAACTAAATGTCTTTAAAGGATTTAAATATGTAATTTGTATTTTAATGTCTGGCCCTCTTTTTTCCAGGCTTGTTGAGTGTATGGACTGTGGGCGCAGGATGCACCAGATTTGTGTCTTGCACAACGAAACAATCTGGCCATTGGGGTGAGCAGCTTTTTCCATTTCCAGTCAGTTTCAAGGATCATGTGTCCCAGTGTCGCTTACTAAATCCCTTGTCTCATCCTTTTATTTTTTCCTATTTGCTGAACTTTAGTTTTGTTTGTGATGGCTGCCTGAAGAAGGCAAATAAAACGAGGAAGGAGAACAAGCATTCTGCCAAAAGTAAGTTGCAATACTTCTATCTCAGTTATCCCAAAGTACCTGTTTCACACAGGAAAGTGGTTTACTGAATGTGTATTCAACCCTCAACTGACCATTAACAGAAAGCTACTGTTGCACCTTAATCCAGGGGGTTTCACGCAGTGGTCCATGAAGACATGGCAGGTGGTCCCTGATCATATATTCAGTAATGTAGTTTCACTGTAGGCATCACGTTTTTTTTTTAAAGACATTTCCAAATATTTATTATTGTTTGTGAATGATCAGATTATACAAAAAAGATAAAATTTTGACAAACCAAGGTCATTTTCAGGCTTAAAATAGTGTCAATCTGGTCTAGCCACCCCACAACAGTGGTCCTCAAGTCACTTCTTAGTCATAATGGTGGTCCCTGGGTCACAATTGGTTGAAACCACCTTGCCTTAATCACATACTGTCGCTATTTACTAATTCAGTACTTTAGTATGAAACTATAGCCCCTTATGCATCCCTGCTTAACCAAAGAAATCATGCCAAATAACACCAGCTTGGTCACTTTCTGTTTTTTAGGGCTTTGCATTGCATTGGGGGTCAGGTTTTGGATGGCTTTAAGTCACATTTCTGCCTACTGTTTTTACAGTTGTTGTTATACTATCTAAACTTTGGCATGTTTGCATGGCTCTCTCCCACACAGGGTTGCCCCAGACAAAGTTGGGCTGTTACCTAGAGACAAGGGTGAATGACTACCTGAAGCGTCAGGGCAACCCAGAGTCTGGAGAGGTCTTCATTCGTGTCGTCCATGTCTCTGACAAAGTGGTGGAGGTTAAACCAGGCATGAAGTCCAGGTATAAGAAGCGGATCAGGATTCTTGAAGTTGAATGTAAAGCCATTTTGAGTATCAAATTGGTAAAGAGATTTGAAATGGTACCCACCAACAAGTACAACATTCAAAGTGATAAATTGGGAAACATGGGCACTCAATTTTTATTTATTTTGTTAATTTAGTATCAGACAAAGAGTGGGTGTAGTCTGACAGCTGTATCCACATCACTAAAGATAGTTTCTGTGATTTGTTTCCTTAAGCTGGCAAGCTTGATGGATGGCTAATAATTATCAGTGCTTGATTTCAGTTTTTTTTTTATTTTACAGTCAGTTTCCACTCATGTTTTTGTCTCCAGATTTGTTGACAGTGGAGAGATGTCGGAGTCTTTCCCATACAGGACAAAAGCCCTTTTTGCGTTTGAGGACATTGATGGAGCTGATGTCTGCTTCTTTGGTATGCACGTTCAAGAGTATGGATCTGACTGTCCTCAACCCAACCAGAGGTAAGAACATCATATGAGAAACATGAATTTACCAAGTTTTTTTTTTTTTTTTTTTTTTTTTAACCTCTTCAGAAGTGGAATGATTTTTAAAAGATGCATTTTAATTTCCATTTCAGCAGGTGTGCTATATTAATCATTCCTCTTTCTCCCACTCAGACGAGTCTACATCTCCTACCTGGACAGTGTGCACTTCTTCCGGCCTCGCAGTCTAAGAACAACAGTTTACCATGAAATCCTCATCGGGTACTTGGAATATGTGAAGAAGTTGGGGTGTGTAGTACTGCTGTTCAAAGAAAACATTAATTTTCTTCTTAAGTACCATTCAGGTGCTCACAAATACACATTCTGACTGCAGTGCGGTTTTTTTGGGGGGGGGTTATTTGGTCCTGTCACAAATCCAACTGTTGCTGGTCCTTAAATGCATCATTGTCTCACATGTCTTCCTCAGTTACACCACTGGCCACATCTGGGCCTGCCCGCCTAGTGAAGGGGACGACTACATCTTCCACTGTCACCCAGCAGATCAGAGGATTCCAAAACCCAAACGCCTTCAGGAGTGGTACAAGAAGATGTTAGACAAGGCTGTGGCAGAGCGGATAGTGCATGACTATAAGGTACAGGGGCAGCATTCAGCTTCACTTGTATGTTGGAGGGAGAATGTTTTCTCCCTAATTTGGGGGGAATTTTGAACATTTTCTTGAACCTTTACAGTGTAGACTCTATAATAAATCCTAATTTTATTTTCAAATTATCCCTAAAGGACATCTTCAAGCAGGCCACAGAGGATCGTTTGACCAGTGCCAAAGAGTTGCCTTACTTTGAGGGCGACTTCTGGCCCAATGTGCTGGAGGAGAGCATCAAAGAGCTGGAGCAGGAGGAGGAGGAGAGGAAAAGAGAGGAGAACAGCACTTCCAATGAGAGTATTGATGTAAGAATGCTGTGATTTTTATGATTGCGGTCCTAAAGAGTCGTATGTTGTGTGTGTGTGTGTGTGTGTGTGTGTGTGTGTGTGAGATTTACAGCTAGATGACAAGCTGATTGACTGATTGTCACCTTCCTTTGTTGTGCAGGACACAAAAGGGGACAGTAAAAATGCAAAGAAGAAGAACAACAAGAAGACGAGTAAGAACAAGAGCAGCCTGAGCCGAGCCAACAAGAAGAAGCCAGGGATGCCCAACGTCTCCAATGACCTTTCACAGAAACTCTATGCCACCATGGAAAAACATAAAGAGGTATGTGGAAATTGTTGTATACCTGTATCTTGTCACTCTCCAGCAGCTTACTGAAAGACAGACTGGGTTAAAAAAAACAAAACAAAAACCTGATAAAAGTTATGTAATATTTAATGTAACAGATGATGTATCTTCATAACCGTTTGCATAAACACAGAATGTGCCACATTTCCATCACTGATATGAGAGCAACTGGTAGTTTTACCTGTGAAGACGTCTCACTCTCTGAAGTTGGAACTACAGAGAAACACTCAGTTCACTCTGATATTTCAGTGGTGTTGCAGAGTGATGCCTCTTTACCTCATAAACGATCTTCATCTAACAGCAGGCAGTATGCCGTTTGCTTGTCCACTGGCTGCACCAGTGCTGAGTTGAATTAATTTTAAAGACCCTCATCTCATACCCCGTCTTTCTCCTGTCAGGTATTCTTTGTGATCCGGCTGATTGCAGGCCCCATGGCAAATGCCCTGCCCCCTATTATAGATCCAGATCCCCTTATGGCCTGTGACCTCATGGATGGCCGTGATGCTTTCTTGACATTGGCCCGAGACAAACACCTGGAGTTCAGCTCGCTAAGGAGGTCTAAGTGGAGCTCCATGTGTATGTTGGTGGAACTGCATAACCAAAGCCAGGACCGCTTCGTATACACTTGTAATGAGTGCAAGCACCACGTGGAGACTCGTTTCCATTGTACTGTCTGTGAGGTGAGTTGGAAGGAGGGTTGTTGTAGTCTGTCTGATTTGATTGGTAACTAATAATGACCAAAACATACTGTACCTAGGTTATAGGTTTTATTATTTTACTGTCAAACCTGCTACATATTATTTCTAAATATTTGAATTCTCATTCATGTGTTCCCTCGTAGGATTATGACCTCTGCATCACATGTTACAACACTAAGGGCCACGAGCACAAGATGGAGAAGTTAGGCCTTGGTTTGGATGATGAAAGCAGTAGTCAGGCTGCTGCCACCACTCAGAACCCTGGAGACTCTCGTCGCCTCAGCATCCAGCGCTGCATCCAGTCCCTCGTCCACGCCTGCCAGTGTCGAAATGCAAACTGCTCTCTGCCATCCTGCCAGAAGATGAAACGTGTTGTTCAGCACACAAAAGGCTGCAAGAGAAAAACCAATGGTGGCTGCCCCATCTGCAAGCAGCTTATTGCATTGTGTTGCTACCATGCTAAGCACTGTCAGGAGAACAAGTGCCCAGTCCCATTCTGTCTAAACATCAAGCACAAGCTCCGTCAGCAGCAACTGCAGCACAGGCTCCAGCAAGCCCAGATGCTGAGGAGGAGGATGGCCAGCATGCAGAGAGTGGGCCAGCCAACTCCTGGAGGAGCCCCTGGGGGCAACGGCCTGCCTTCTCCAGGAGCCAGCAATGGAGCAGCTGGTCCTGGTACCCCTACATCTGTGGGCACGCAGCCTCCAACCCCACAAACACCCACCCAGGGTAATTTGCCTGCACTTCCTCAGCAGCAGGGAGCTGTTATGGGGGGAATGGGAACTCCAGGCCAGCAACAGCAGGTGCAGCAGCAAGGTGGTACCATGCCTCCTCAACACCATATCCATCAGTTTCAGCCAGTGGGGGGAGTAAGTGGAGGGGCTATGATGAACTCTCCTCAGCAGCCGATGGTGCCTCAGCTTCAACAGCAGCCTCCTAGTGTCCAGCAACTCCAGCAGCAGCAACCTGGTAGTTTGCCCCCTTACAACCCCAGACCACCGGGAGCCTCTCCCCTCCATCAGTCCTTGGGGAAACCTGGCCTGGGTCCAGCCACCCCACCTCAGCAGCAACAACCACCCAACCAGGGCCAGGGGTCAATTCCTGTACAAGGTCAGCAACAAGGGCCCCCTCTGGCTGCTGTAGAGACTGCCCTAAAAATCCAGCGCCTAGCAGAGACCCAGAGACAAATGGCCCAAGCCCAAGCCCAGATCCGTGGCTTAGGACAGGGGGGCTTGATACCCCAACATCCTCACCAGCAGAACAACCAGGGCCAGATGGGCTTGCCCCACATTGGGGCCCAAGGCATGCCCCCCCAGGCTCAAGGAGTTGTTGGCAGGACTATGTTAGATCCACAACAACAGGGAATGCTAGCAGGGATGCAGCAAGGCGGCCTTCAGACACAGTTGCCCCATCAAGTTCAGCAGCAGCTCCAGCAAGTCCAGCAGGCAGGGGGTGGACAACTGCCACCAACAAACCAGCAATGGGGTGCTGGGGGACCAGCCATGAACCCCCAGCAAAGGCCAGGCATGATGGGTCACATGGCTCCACAGCAGCAGCCAACAGTTGCTCAGCAACAGCAGCAGCCGATGAATCCGCAACAACCACCACCAGGAAACCGTGGGCTGATGCAGGTAATGGGCGGAGCAGGAGGGGCAGCAGGGGCACCTGCTTCATTAGCAGCTGCAGCTGGAGCAGGAAACCTGCCCCAGGCGGCACTGCAAGACCTCCTGCGAACACTGCGTTCCCCAAGCTCACCCATTCAACAGCAGCAAGTCCTCAACATTCTTCGTTCCAACCCAACCCTTATGGCTGCTTTTATTAGACAAAGAGCAGCCAGGTATCAAGGCGGGCAGGGTGGTGCTGGAGGAGCAGTAGGGCCTCCACAAGGGGGCCCTGGAGGTATAAGGTTCCAAGGGGGTGTTGGAGGGCTGCCTGGTGTAGGAGGGCAAGGGGATGGACAGCAGCAGATTAATATGAACCAAGCTGGACAGCCAGGGATGAACATGGTTCAGGGTGGAGTAGGGGGAGGGAATATGCCTACCATGGCTCAGCTTCAGCAGTTGCAACAGCAGCGCCCAATGCTACCTGGGAATCTTCAGCAACAGCAATTGGCTGCATTACAACAGCAACAGCAGCAGGGAGCAATGCAGGCAGGGCAGCAAGGCAACATGACTCCACAGTTCAGAGAGATGATGAGAAGACACCTGCAACAGCACATGGGAAACCACGGGCAGTTCCAGCAGCCACAAGGACTCCAGCAGCAAGGCCAGCAAGCCTTTATGCAGCCTGGTCAGGGACAGCCAGGAATACCCCCCTCTTCACAACCCCAGCCTGGAGGAGAAAGTGTAGGGGGTCCACAGCAGCAAGGAGGACCACAGGGTGGGCCAGGACAACTAGGCCAGCAGCAGGGCTACTCAAACTCCATGTCACAAGTAGCTGCAGCGCTCCAGCAAAGGCTCCAGCATCCGATGCAGATGCAGCAACAACAGCAGCAGCAAAATTCAATGGGTGGGCTTCAAGGACAAGATGGAGGGCCTGGTGGAGTTGGAGGACCAGGAGGACCTCCACTTCTGCCTGGCCAAGGTGGACCAGGGCAGGGACAACAACAACAAGGTGGAGTTGGCGGAGGGAGTGGTGGCCCCACAATGCCGCAGGTGTCTCAAGGCATGCTTCACCAGAACATCCACCAGAGGCTCTTGCAGCAGCAGCAGCAGCAGCACCTTGGTGGGGGCTCTCCAGCCCACCACAGCAGTCCCATGAGTCCCCAACAACAGATGGCTCATTCCCCTCACCACCTCCAAGGACAGGGAGGACTTGGTCCAGCAGGATCACTCAGCAGTCAGGTCAGGTCACCACAGCCCTCGCCAAGACCACAGTCGCAGCCACCACACTCCAGCCCTTCCCCGCGCATGCAGCCCTCTCAGCCCCAGCCATCACCTCATCGCATTTCTCCGCAGACCCAGACTGGCTCACCCCACCCGGGACACTTAAGCCAACATCACCCCAGCATGGCACCAGCCCAGCCTCCACAACCTCAGCAGCAGCCAGGTAGTTCTGTAGATCCTGGTCAGTCCTGCCTCTCGGACCAGAATTCAATCATATCCCAGTTGAGTGGGATGGCAGGGATGCACAGTGGACAGGGGGGGCAGTCGGACATGTTGGGTGGGAATAGTAACAACAGCAGCAACAACAACCAGGAGCTTGGAACGAACATGAATCACAACACTTTAGACCTTATGTAGCCTTGACTCCTACTGTCTTTCTGTCCTGATGCTCTGATGAGTCGCCCCAAACGACAAACTGCCATGAAAGGAAAGTGAGGCAGAACTGCAGCTTTGGGGTTTTAGAAGTTTTTATTTTTTATTTAAATATTTTTGTGATGTATAAATAAGAATCGAAGCTTCCTTCCTATGGGAGATGCAACATAAATCTTGGAAGTCAAATAAATTAAAATAAGTTATTGCTGTTAATATATATCTATATATTTTTGCCAGTTGTGTACAAAAAGGTGAAGGGGGCAGAGTTTCAGGTTGAAGATATTTCTTCCTTAAGTCTATAACAATATTTTTGGGGACTGAGAATTTTGCCTTTTTATGAATATTTTTAAGACTTTAAATGTGGCTAAAAATTAAAGTATGTTGACACAGTGTACATTTTTTATTGTTTTGCTTTCTTCCTCAAATACCCAGTCATGATTGTATCTTTTTTGCAGAGAGTAGGTATATTTTTATTTCTTTTAATTACTTTTTTTCTTCCTCTTTGGATTGTAAAACAAGCATCAACATATCTTTGGTTACAAATGTGTCTTTGGACAGTTTTCACAGTTCTATACATTTTAAAGCAGCTGCAACAATTCACATGGAATTTATTTTAAGGGTGTGTTAAATGCAGTTTGGTTTTGACAGCTTTGTTTTTCCTTTTCAGGGTCTGAAAAAGGGGTCCTTTTAAGGTTTGAACCTTAACAGTGTTTTGGGAGTGGGTATAACACTGACTGTTTTTTTGGCAAAACATTAGCCAAGTCTGCAGAACAGAGCTCTTCATTTCTCTTATGAATGTACTCCCGTTTCTTTCCTTTTCCTCCCAAAAAGTGGAGAGGTGAGCTGTTGATGCCTGATCATCTAGCTGGAGGTACGTCATGTGCCTAATTACACCTGGCTGGTGTTTATAAAGGTGTCTTGTGTACATATAGCGGCCTTGTTTCTGAACTGTGACCTGGAGAAGAGGTGGAAAAGTGTCTGATTTGTATGCTGCAAGGTTTAAGAAAGTCCTGCCTCTATCTTCAACCCCAACGGTTTCCCCCTTTCAGGAGTCTTTTCTCTCTTTCCCCTTGTGTTCCTCATTATGGTTTAGTTCAATGTTAGTACTGTACAGAGTAAAAATGGTGGACTTGCATACCATTTTTGTAATGAAAGTGAAAATGTAAAAAAACAAAACCTGTATATACTTCTAAGCAGAGAAGTTATTTTCTGCTGCTTTGTTTCCCATTTTGTTTGATTGGATATTTGCTGTATCTGTTTAAAATACAAAAGTAATCCTGAGCTACTGTATAGTATTCTTTTCTAAAAGGTACAGTATGGGGTGTAGTAGGTCAGAAGCACCAGTGCGCCTTTTCTGTGTATTTTTGACCAGGTTTTAGTGGGGGAGGGGCTATTACAACAAGTCATGCACCCGAACAATCTCAGAAACGTAAGTCATGAAACTTGCATGAAGTAGAGCCAAGTCCAAGGCTGATTAGAGGTGTGATCTGAATAAGTATAAATTTGCTCATTTTGCCTTTTATGAAGAGGACAACATTCATATGCTCACTATTTTTCTCAAAGGTTGGGCTTGCTGGGTATGAGGAGGGATGCATCAGGTGGCAATATATCTTGAGACTTATTTTATAAGAAAATGAGAAAAAACTGTCTTTTATATATAGATATATTATTAAATTTTATTTTTTGGAAATAAAACTTGAAGCTACAGGAATTATTAGATAAAACATGTTTTGTTTTGTATTAAAGATGTTATGGTGATGCAAAAAGACACTGCAGACAGTCATTCAGTTTGTCCTGGGGAGGCTGTGGAGTGTATTATACCATCCTTTCGAAGAATTGTTTCATGTACATGAATATAGTTGTAAACATACTGAATCACTGTACAAACTGATGGCAACTGAACAAATAGTTTTTGTTTTTATCAGTTCTCCTATAAAGAGACAGGAAATGAGACTATTTAAATATTTGTTTAGTATTCAAATGAAATCTTTGACCACTTTTTTTGTTCCTCTTGTTAACAATTTTGGTGCTTGCTGAGAGAAAGCAAAATACCTGTTGCTCCATTTTGATGAGGTTTTTTTAAGTTATTTTGGTGGTCTTTTTTTTTTTTTTTTGCCAATAAATTAATTGTACAATAAAGTATGTTTGTACCGTTGGAAAACTAGTTGATTGTCACCTCAGGTGCTTGACCATTTGAGATGCATTTGAACCACACTCAGTGAAATTCATGGAATTGGTAGATGCAAGGAAAAGTCTTAATCCTTTTCAGGATTAGGAAACGTTCTGAACAGTAACGGCAATTTAGAACCACTATCACCATTAGCTTGACCACAGAGAGCACTGATGAGTTGATTTTTAACTGTGTATGTATCTTTGCTACAATTCTATATCAGTTGTTTATTGACAAACCAATATACATTTAGCTGATACACAGCTAAATGCATTCTCTATGACATTACATTTTAAATGGAGCATGAGATTAACAATGTAAGTCTTATACTTTTATAGCACTTCTCTACACATTGCAGCACAAAGCACTTTCACACTATTTGGCCATTCACCCATACCGGTGACATCACAGCAACTGGGGGTTCAGTGTCTTGCTCAAGGACACCTCGACATGTGGACAACCCGGGAATTGAATCACTAATCTTCCGGTTAGAAGAAAACCGGCTCTACATCTGGAGCCACAGCTGCCCCAGTGTAAATGGTAATGCAGGTATTGTACTGGATTGCTGCTAGATGGCGACGTTTTTGATTTATCAGTTGATCTACTTTCCAGCCGTCACCTGTGGTCATCAGCTTTAGGGTAGTGACCTGAAAGAATGAGATCCCAAGTACAAGCTATCAAAAGGAGTTTCCTCTGTTGGGTGGCTCAACTTGGCCTTAGAAATAGGATGTGGATTTTGAACATCGGGGGGGAGCTCAAGCTAGAGGTGCTGCTCCTTTATTCCAATTCCCTTAACTGCATCCGTGTTTCCCTCACTTGCATTTTTGCCTTGAGTCTTAGTCCTGCCCATGTAAGATGCAAGAAAGATGAGGAGAGAGCAACTGAGGAAACACATTTATACTGACAGTAAACATCCTTTCCTCCGATCCTTCAACTGAAGCCTCCAATCACAAATTGATTTGTGATAAAGGTGTCAGTGCCTTAAGACTTTCATGAAGTGTGCACTCATGTATCCTCTGTTATACGTAGCTCCTCCAGGCAGCATCTCGTCCTCAGAATAGGCACAAGAGCTTTGAGATGTCCATCATGGGAAACTGGGACAACTGCCAGATTGAGTGAGAATTGAGGACCAAGCAATGATTAAAATAAGGGAATTGGGATTCAACGTCTAAAAGGAGCCAGTTGAGGTGGTTTGGGTATCTGATTAGGATGCCTCCTGGGCATCTCCCATTGAATGTTTTAGGAGCCAGAACAAGCTGGTGAAATCCTCTATCTCAGTGGCCTGGGAACACCTCAGGATCTCCCAGCAGGGGCTGGGAAACACTGGAGAGAGGGGCATCTGGAACACCTTGCTTATTAATCTGCTTCCACCACAACCCGCCTCCAGATAAGTAACATTGAAAATGGATGGATAGGTATGGGCTTTTTTTTTAATCTGTAGTATTGTAAGTGAAGGCTGACATAAATCTGGGATAATATAGGTTTCACTGCCCCCACAGTGATTTCAACATAAGGAAAAAACATAGTCCTCATGCTTTTCTGACCTTCCCTCTGCCTACCACTCTAATAATTTTCATACAGTCCCTAAAGGGATTGAATAGGTTAAGTAACGACTGTGTTGAGTGATTTATTTGCAAAATACAAGTCACAGTGGCTTCCTAATAAAAGCCCGAATCCTCACTTTGAGTAATAAAGTTTCTTGTATATTAACTTAAAAAGTTCACTCAGTGTTAAATCTGTGGCACCTGTAGACGTTGTACAGCTATAAAAATCTGCATCCATGAGTACCTGAAAATAAGTCACCTTAGTTACCATAAAGAAGCAAGACAAGTTCAATAAAAATTCTATTAAACAGGAGCAACATTTATTATAGTATTACCACAGAAATGCTCTTACACAATGACACTTTGTAGACCAGAGCAAGCAATGTGTGGGCTCACAACACAAAGTGCACAGTTCAGTGGTGAATGAAATGTTAAATCCAGGGTGCTTGTTTTGTCATGTCAGTACATTTACAGTAGATCTGGCATCAGCTAAGTGGTTATCACAAACTGTATAAAAACTATTCAGTCATCTGCATGACAAATACACAGGTCTCTTTAAAGAATAAATATACATTCAAGTCAATGTAGAAAAATAACGACTAAAAAATATGTTTCTCCCTACTGAGCCCTCCATCGTAAAGCCTCCTCATATTTCAAGTCTTAATAATAATCAGTCAAATAAGCTGGGGCAGTAACTGTATGTGTGTAAAGGATTGAAGAGAGTCATTAGCCCTAAAAGCTCCACAGACAAAACAACAACAAAACAGTGCAACATCAGGCATTTCCATTCCCCGCAGCTTCAGTGTCACAGAGACAGTTTTCTGGATCATGAGACGCTGTGGAGAAACATGCACTTTAAATGTATGGGTTCTTATAATTTGCCAGTATTTTGGTAAAATAATTTGTAAAACTGATTAAATTTGTTTACTTATTATTTAGTAACCGATTCATGTATAGGTCTTGTTCACCCTGCATTAAAGACCAGATTGTTCTGTTTCTCATGTTTTAGCCTATTACCTACAAACAAGTTTTCATTATGTTATTATTACTGATATTTAAATCAATTCGGATTGCATTTCCTGACACTATTCTGTCATAATGGATAATTCAACATCTTTGACAATTCCATGAAAACTGAGCAAACGCCATCTATTGATGAAGATCACGGGATGTGACTGAAAGCTCCAGAACGGCCCCTAAATGGATGTCGTTTCCAAGATCAATAAGGAACCTGTACATAATTTTAATGCCATAAAGATATTGAATATCTTGAGATTTTTGACCCATCCCAGTGAACATTCACTTGCTTTTTGTTTTAGCCAAATGATAATGCAATGCTATAATGGCCCGATGGAAAACTCCTTGCCGGTGCATTCCAGTGCCTTTGGGAATTTCCGACATCTTAGACTTAGAGAAATGTCTCCTAATTGTTCTGGTCCATTATCTCTGAATATGTCTCCTTGCAATCCATGGTCAAGGGTTGTAAAGAGACATAAAAGTAAACAATTTTGTTTATCAAAATTTAAATTTTTCTCATTTACTACCTGGACCAACTAGAATAATTTCATCTTGTAAAGTAAGATTCTCTGGCTGAATGGTTTTGATTTGACTATACAACAATACCTCTTCTGAATGCGGCGCTCTACAGCAGTCACCTGCAAGTGGACTTTGCCAAACAGTACCCAAATACAGCTGCATTACTACATGACATTATCATTTGCTAACTGTTACCTGTGATGGGTTACCTATTTTAATTGATCAGTTTTATGATCAGTGTCTTCTTAAAAGGTCAGACTTCATGCTGTGTTTGAAAAGGTAACTGTCAGTCTTGTAAAAGACAGTATGTGCGAGTTGTAGTTAAATTGGCTAAACAGCTAGCAGAACTCATTGGCTTATAAACTTTTGAATATTGGCATAAATTATTGGGTATTAGGAACTTTTAAATTCATTTTAATATTGATATTCCCCTCAAAACTCTGTTGGTCCAACTCAACCAAGAGGCTTCTGCTGAACACACAGACCCTTATGAAGTAAATACAGTGGAATTCCACGATACATTCTATTTTCAAGTCTCATCTAATTTTGGTACAAGACTCCGTCATCGCTCAGTCTGGTTTTGATGAAGTGCTAAGTGGACAGAGAAGACTACACTGTCTGGCATGTAGGCTGGTCAAATTGTCTCTCAGACTTTGAAACGCATTCAAGACTTAGCCACATGTTGTACGGTAGTAACAGACTATGTGTTTATAGATTACAGGTACATGTTAGGACGGGATTGACGACTACACCCCTTACTGTATGTTGGAGTATGTACAATATGTTTGAGTCCAGTCGTGAATAGTTAGCTTGATGCGGAAGAAAGACAGTAACAGTTGCCATATTTACATGCACAGACTCTTCCTCGTCTTCACAGGATTACTGATTTTACCTTGTTTTACTTCACCAAATGAAAATGTCATAACTCTGTAGTATTACTGTCTGTACTCATTCAGAGGTGGAATGTCCATTTGCTCAAGTAATTCTATAAGTAATCCTCTACTTTTTCCATTTTTGTGCTACGTTTGTGGCTTTTATACTCTTAACCCGCTACATTTATCTGATGACTGTATTTATTTGAAGAAAGGATTGATCTGAATCTCTTAAGAGCCCACCTCATAAAATCAAAGTAGATAAGGAGATAAGATGATAAGTTTTGTGCATGAGGCCCATTCTCTTTATAGATGTCCTGTGGAGTTTTTGACCACTAGTTGTGCTATAGAGCAATGTCCTGATGAGTGGGCTTACACACTTCTATGATACATGTTCATGCACATGTATGATACAGGTCTCACCAATGTGCCAGTGAAATCTGGAGAAGACAACTGCAGACTACAAACATGGATGTAAACAATACAGGGTTCAAATTATTAAAATCTCTGTGATGTTTCTGAAGACGGGAAAACATTCAACGTGCTTGTTAGGTCTCAGGAATACACAAAGCGTTGTGGTGACTAACAATGAATGTAAATGTAACTGTCGAAACGAAACTATATATGGTACCTTAAAAGTGGAACATCTAAGACCCTTGATAAAAAAAGATAATAATATACTTGTATCGACACAATTGAACCAATACCAACAACTCAAAGATTCCTTAGGTAGGTGTGAGATTTCTGGCCTCAAAAACTCACTTTAAGAGAATTACATGTCATTCTGCTGTCTGACCTAGTCCCATTTTCAGCAAGCACAAGTTCTCCTAACTGGAGCTTCTTTCCTTAGGCTAAGTCTGCACCTCCAAAATCTGCCTAAACCTGGCAGCCATATACGGACCACATGGCAGTGATTACATCTGAGCCACAATCAGTCTGGCTACATGGGTCACATATTGTTATATAAACAAACAAAAAAAAACTTAAACTGAATTATTATTCCATATTTTAGCACGGTGATATACATTATTACCTCTTCACTAGAGGTTTCTATTGGATTGCTGCTCTATTAGCTAACTTACCCCTCTCTGTGGAGAAAATGCTATGTCGGCTAAGCAGAGACCACAGTTAGCTGTTCATATTTTTGCATTTCCTTGGTCAATAACAGAAGCCACTACCAGTTGCAGGTATTTAATGCCCCTTTAATTTAAGGCAACTCAGTCTGCACATATCAAAGGTGAACACCTCAGCCTAAATACAACATGAACTGGAATTCTGCTTATGTCCAGGTGACTCTGTGCATGTAAAGACTGACCTGTAGTAGCTGACAAGGGGGGAGAGCAGAATGATAATTTGCAGAGAGGGAACACGCCGCCCCTGATCCTCAAACACCATTCACAAAAGGTGGTTAAGCTCCCTCCCACAGTGTCCTCCCCACCAACCTAGACCAACTTCAGTGTGTTCAGACCTCCAGGCCCCAGCCTCTAAAGAAGCCTTTGGCCACTCTTGACTCTCGGAAAGTCACTGTGAGGGAGTTGAGGGTTATGTCTGTGACTGTCACCTCTCCCGGACTAAAGATAGGTCTCCACATGTTGTCCGGCTTCTCTGACGCAGTGACTTCATCTGGAATAATAGTGGAGCTCCACTTGTCTGTCCTCTTCTGTCCTGGATGAGGCAAAAAGGCAGAAGGCGAAAAGGGGAAAGATGCAGTCGGACAGTGATTGCATCAAGCCTATCACCCGTGTATTGTTATTAACTCTGTATTTATTTATTTATTTGTTAAACATGCAGTGTCAAGCACATTACTAGACACAGTTTGACTCAAAGCTGGTCTCAGCAGTTGGCACTTCACTATAGTGGTGCATTCATCTTTTTAAATGAGAGACTCTCAAAGATCTGCTGCCTTATATTTACAGTACATGCACAATAAGACACCAAATAACATCTCTTTAATGACCTCTGAATGGAGAACGTTTAATGTTTTTTGGTTGTGTGCCCAATAGAGAGAAAGCCTGTGTGATGATGTGCCTATGAGGAGGTGCACAAAGAGTCAAGTTAAGTGGGTCACACTGATGATGGTCCACTGGCTGACTGACTGACACACTTACCATTAGGAATGCCTACGCTCTTCTCTGCAGTGTCCTTCTGAGCCACCTCCATCTCCTCCTCCTCATCCCCATTGTCCTCCACCTCTTCTTCTTCTTCTTCTCCTCGGCCTTCCCAGTCCTCCTGACCAGGGCTTGGAGGGTTTGAGTCAAAGCACCTGAACTGTGACCTTCTGGATTTGCTTCTGAGATGTGTCATCTGTGGTTGGGGTCCCTGTCTGCAGGAGCTGTAGGGCTCATCCTCATCCTCATCCTCATCCTCGGGTACTAGGGACCGTGTCATGGAGAGACGCAGGTGAGGCGGAGGCTTCTCTGGAGGCTTGTGAGCGCTACGGAGATCCATGGTGTAGACAGTATTCTGAATCAAAGCATAAAAGTGTTCATTCAAATAACTGAGAAAAGAATACATTGGCTTCAACTTTTTATTGAACTCAAAATTTTACCTGCAGGAGGAGTCTTTTGGCTTTGGATCCTTTTCTCCTGTGACCCAGAGCTCGGTCCCTCTGCTCCCTAAACAAACCAAAAACACAATTAAAACCAGCAAAATGTCATCTACAAATATCATTTCTGTTTACTTTGATCCACTGTGAATTAGAGAAGTCCTGCACTCTGGCACACTTAAAAATGTAGTCAGATGTGTATCTGATCATCTTTTGTTTTGCCATATCCAATTACAATACAACAACCCAGGACATATGCTAATGCCAGCTGGAAAGAGAAGGACTTCAATCTCAGTCTTGATCTGCTGAGTCACAGTGTCATTAGAGGAAAATTGATTTAGTCTGCACATTCTTTCTCCACTATGTGTCAAACCTTCCTGGTTCTTTCCATGATCAGGCAACCGTTTTCATCAGGCAAGTATTAAATGTTAAGTGGAACCTTACTTCTCTTCATAGGCCTGCACCAAGCGCCGGTCCAGAATGTGCTCCTCAGGTTCCCAGGTGCTGTATCTGTAATAGGTTATAAGGAAATATATAAAAGCCTCCTTTAGTTTTCTATTAATTTCTGTCATTCATTTGTTATTACACTGAGTCTGCTAATTAAACCAGTCTGTCGATTAATGTAGAATTGTTTGACATTTTCCATTTAAAAAATAATTTTAAAACAGTTACTATGTGTTGGCTGAAAAAGGGCTCACACAATGGCTCCATCTTCTTCGGTTCCACTCAAACAGTAACTATGAGCTGAGCAAACGGGCAAAGTGGATGAAATCATCTACACAGAGTCAACCAGTCATTACTTTTCTCTGTATATGTCATGCTGTGTATCTTTGTTAATGAGCATATATTTTTATATGGACCTGGTACTTTCTGTGCCTATGTATGATGATGCACATTTGCAAGTTTCATATCATCCATTCATCTCACCGATTAAAGCTTACATACTTACTTTGGAGGCCATCCTTTCCACTTCAACAGATACTCCACATTCCCCTGCAGAGATATCAAGTTTAAGAGCATCAGCCAGAAGTTAATTTAATAAATTAAGTCATGGAATATACTGTGGCCTGTTCCACACACATTCTAATAAAACCTTCATACGTCACCTGATGTCTCAGACTCTACATGTCTGTTTTGATTAAACATGAAGGAATACATTTCTTTGCACTACATTCCACTTTTAAAAAGGTTTATGCTGACTGAACCATGCTACAATCAAGGTCACAACTTTAACTTCAGATCTGACATCTCATTGTAAATCTACTGGATTGCATTTTACCAGTTTACTCATTGTCAAAATGGAGTTCACTCATCTGCTGAGGCGGATGCAAATCTTTATGAACTTTACATGTATGTTGCACAACACATAGCCTATAAGCCACTGAATCAAACTGTATACATTATATAACAACAGGAGAAATCAGGGACAGTGACATTTTCCAGCACCTTTCATCTATGTATAGGGTGATTCTGCATGCCTTCAGACAATATCTATAAATAACAGATGATGTAAAATGCTCTGTATGATTACCATTTACAAGCCATGCCACTCAGAATGAGTCATCCTCCAGGGGTGTTGCTAGACATAAAGCTCTACTGGGGCACAGGGCCCCCATTACTCAAATCACCCAATCATTTTTCTTAAATGTTTACTGCATGAATGAAATGTGCTATAGACTGTGCTATATGACCTCCCCTTGCTTAGCCCAGTGTTCCACTGCCATACTGCTGCTACTGACACTGAAACAACTACTGGTAAAGGTAAAAACGCAGAGATATTAATCCTTGTGAAAATAATTATTTCAACGTACATTAAGAACATTCAACATGCTTTTATGGCATGAAAGTCTGGTCCTGCATTGCACACGTCTTTCCATTCTTCTGCATTTCACAATAATATAATTTGATTGTCGGGCAGCCCCAGTTTGATTTGTTAGGTTTAAACTTTCACAACATGTTAATCTATCAACAAATCAATGTAGACAAACACAATCTAATCTTTTTTTGTAACCGATAAAGCCAAATAACACTGATGCTCCATGTAGTGTACTGATAAATCATGTTTTAAGAGTAGTCCAACTAGCTACCGATGCTCCATGTAGTGTACTGATAAATCGCGTTTTAAGAGTAGTCCAACTAGCTAAATAAACTAATGTTACTTTGTTTACCAACTACAGCCAGGTCTTCCTTCTCTTATCCTTATCTCTCTGAACTTCCTCCCTGTCTCAGCCTCCTCAAAACATTTTTCTTATGTCCAAGGAGTCAATAATGTTTGAGTGAGAATAAGATCATCAGTATTATTCAAAAACTTAATTTAGTCCCTGTCACATACCTCAGTCCATTCCTTTCTTTTGTTTTGCATGTCAATACATGGATTGCTGTGTGCATGCTGCAGTGCACCAGCTGCCACGTGCATGATATGCGCACGGTGGTGTAGGTGCCCTGATCACTGTGCTTGAGCTTGTATTTTGCTTTGACATTCTGGATTAGAACAACAAATCAATTTTTTTCTCCATTATTATCAGTCTAAATTAATCCACTACTCAATATAGGAGCCTGTTAAAACTTGAGCTTGTGATTTTACTGGAGCACAGCAGATCAATACTGGGGCGCATGTCCCAGTAAAAGGAATCTAACAACACCTATGTCATCCTCTGTGACATCATCCACTAATCATGTCTAAACTCTCAAAGGTGACACCACCACTTTTCATTGTGGTTTCCTTTTACTCACTCACTTCACCTAATATAGTAAAAAAAAAATGGACATGCATTTTTAGCAAGGCCTGCTTTCTTAACTGTGGATTAAATGCATCAAAATGTAGCCTACATAATTTCCATAATATCCATCCTTCAAGTGTGTGTTGTAACAGATAAAATTTGCTTTTATTTGAGCATTTTCATTCTGGGCATAAACTCTTGGCTGTCTTATACTACTTAAAAAAGTCATAAGTGTAAAGTGTTGATTGACAGAAAATGCATCCAACCGGTATAATGATAAATATGCCCTACCTTTGTATCTGTGCTTATAGCTTAGCCTAGAGTTAGAGTTTTGTTTATCATTTAAATCATTATTTTGTCAACCCTTGTGCCAAAACAACCAATTAATATTAAATTGTTCACACATGGGTACCACCAGGAAACAGAGGTTTCAAGGGGCCCTTCCACGTTTAGGGCGCCTTTCCTTCCAGCTACGCACCTGCATCTGTCAACACCATATGGTGTTTTAGACCCAAACACAATTAGCAAGCAAACAGGCCCCAAGCGAAGGCGTTTGGTAGATACCGTGTACTCCTCCACATACAAACATCTGACATGTTAAGCTGCAGCACAATGACAACAAACTCCACGTTAGATCAGGGACAACCTCCTTTAACCCGCCCCCTTTTATAAAGCCTGTATTTAGATAACCAGATTAGTCGCGCAGCTCTGTTCATCTAATCTCTCAAGCTTTCATTAGCATTCAAAGTAGCATCCTCTCCTCCCCAAAAATGTCTCTTTCAATTGGTGACAGCGTCCCGCTCTTAAGCACGCTGATAAATGTTTCTTAACCCGTTACCTTTCTAACTCTTTTCTTCACGATTGATTCCACAGCAAACACTTGCTCTCCAATCGCTGACAGCTCCATCTCCGCGCACGCCGCCGTCCGCTGGGTTTTAACTGTCAAAGTACCGTCCTTCTCCTACACAAACTAAGCTAACGGTAACTGTTTACAACAAACGAGCCCTCGGCTGTGTCCTCTCACTCAGTCTCTTCTTCCGGACAGTTTAAAGGCCCATTTGTGCGGAGCGACTTCCTTGTGCTGGGTCTTTCTGTGCGTCCAGTGACTTTACAAAATCTGCGACACATCTGCACACCGCTTAGCGCGTCTCCGAGAGCGCGCTCCTACGGTGAGTCCGCGCGCGCCACTACCTCCCTCATCATACCCATCGTTCATAGGGTAGGATGGGTATGGATGGATAACAAACAGCGATGGAAGAAGTAGGCCCTATTCGCACCCATCACCAGAGAAGGACTACAGGTAACAGCACTGCAGTTGTCTGGTACAGGAGGACAAGTCAGGCGTTCAAAATCCGACCGAGTATTATTAACAAAATGTACCTAAAGTAGGCTAAGTATTTATTCTACAAGCAAGATAATTATTTGTAGTAGGTTTGTATCTTTTTGTGGTTGTTTTCTGTCCCTTTGAAGTTGGTTTGCATCTGTTATGCTATTTTTTACTTGGGGTTCCCTGACTAGCGGCTAAGGTTCGGGTTCGAGTCAGGGTTGCGTCAGGAAGGGCATCCGGCGTAAAACACGTGCCAAATGTCAACAAGCCCCTAACGGGAAAAAGCCGAAAGTGACATTCATGTTATTTTTTTATTTGTTTTGGAACCCTTCATAGTTATTTTGCACCAATGTTTATATTTTTGTATGGGCTATCTATTTGACTTTTAATGGGTTTGCTTCTCCCTGTAGTTTTGTGTCTCTTTTTGTCACTTGGCATATTTTTGTAGTCATTCTGCTTTTTTTTGGCTCTTTTCTATCTCTTCTGAGTCACTTTGTCTTTTTTTAAGGCTTTCTATCTCTTCATAGCTGTTTAGCATCTATATTTCCCCCATTTTCTGGCATTTTGTAGTCATTTGATGTTCCAACAGAAAGGTTAACATTCCCTTCCTTTCTGGGGCCCCAGACTGCTTCAGCCTCTGGGCCTGTGCCCAGTAGGCCCGTTCAGTATCCATCCATGTAAGTAGACCTTTTCATTATGTTGAATGGAATCTGTGACTGATATTGTATATAGCATTATAAAATTGGCAATACTGATGGCATAAATTAAAAAGGCTAGTTAGGTCCAGTGGTTTCAAACCTAAGGGTGGAGCATCTCGTGAGGGTCACAAGATAAATCTGAGGGGTCATGAGATGAAAAATGAAAATGTAAAAAAGATGAAATAAAAAAACAATCATTTTGGATGAGACATTCTTATCTTTCCTTTTGGGTAAAAGATTCAGTATTTTACATCCTAATTATTCAAATGAAACATCTGTAAAGCTCAGAAGGGACATTACTTTGTTGTAACTGCAAACAATTTAGACCACACACCTAAAAGGCTGGAATCCAGTGGTGTAATCCAAGCTGAGCTTTTGATATGTTTTAATGTATATGTTTACTTTGAACAGCAGTAACTGCAGAGTCCAAAGAAATTATTTAAGTAAAAAGTACTGTATTTTGCTCTGAAATGTAAGGAAGCTGGGATAATATAAAGTAGCATAACATGAAAATACTCAAAACACAAGCACCTCAAAATTTAATTAAAGTACAGCACTTGAATAGATGTACTTATTTACTTTCTACCACTGACCAAAATATCCCTAAAATGGCTGGGAAGAGACTTTCTACTTAACCCAATGACAACTGTTTTAATACACTCACACTGTAGCTTATACATAAAGTGCCATTATATGCTTTTTATTTTCTATGCCAAAAATATATATACATAAAAAAACATAGTGACAATAAGGATTCTTTAAGTAGGAAGGGCTGAATGAATTGTCATGGCAAAAAAGCAATTTTTGAATGGTGATTGTGAGACACTAGTCACAATGTGACTGGGTCCAAAAGTCTCAGCAAATGAGTGACAACCTCTGATGTTTCAGTGCAGGTCCACTGGGCTGGAACTGTAGAGCCTCTTTCCAGAAAAATACATGCACTTTTACAAATCGTGATCTTGTGTTTATTTAAAAAAAAAAAAAAAATCACACATTTCAAACAATTGTAAATAAAATAAAGTCCTGTGCTGCAAAAGTGACAGCATCATTAGCAATTAGCTACTCTGTATATTGGCTGAGCATCAGCTGTTTCCCCTCTAAATTTACAATATATAGGTGCTTTGGAATAAATCTTATGAAATGACATCAAACTGCACAGCCCCTCGCAATCTCCATAGCAATAGGTATATTTTTAAGTAAACACGTTAAGGCCAATATTGTCAATAACAGACAATACATTTATAGTAGTTTTTCTTAAGCTGATGCATCTGAATGCTACAATCTGTTATAAAGGACCATTTCACAGTAACCAACTATTACCCACCTCTGGCTGGACATGTGCTCACCACCTAACCCAGCAACTTTCACAACTTCTTTCTCTAGATTTTTCTCTACTTGCACTGCTCCTTCCTTTCATGTTTCTCAATCTGACAACTTCCCTTAACACAAACCACGACCAAAACCCCTCCTCAGACTGAAACCAAACACATCATAGGTTACTGCGGACTGTAGAAGACTTGGTGGGGAAAACTGTGACATCCTCTCAGAGCCGTGTTTGGCAGGTTTGACAAGAGATATTTAAGAGAAGAGCCCTGCATCAACTGAGCTCCTGTGCTACACAGGGCTGCTGTGGTAGTGACCCTTAGAACCAGTCTGAAGACAAAACAAAAACAAAGAAACACAACTGTGTATCCCTGTTTTGCCCCTGTGCAAAAAATTGTAACTCTAAGCAAACAAGATAGCATTACTTTGTCGATGAAGTTTTGTAACGACAGCTTGATCAAAATTTGAAGTCCATCTACTTTCTTGTTACACAGTCCTCATCAGCACATTAAGTTTCCTCAGTTGCCATGGAACTGTAAATGATGAAGATGCTGGTAAGCAGCGCTGCAGCTACCAGATGTGTTCTGATTAATCTACCAGTTCCTTTCTTAAGTGCTCTGCAAATAAACTGCCAGAAAACTGAAAAGTCCATCAGTTTCCCAATGATGTATTAAAATTAAAATTGCTTGTTTTGTCTGATTAAAAATGCAAACTCCACAGATATTCAGATTTCTGAAGAAGCTGGAACCAGCGAAATGTTTGCCATTTTTGTTAGGAAAATGACTTTTATTAGTTTAACCAAACTGCTGTAGATCGATCAACAAACCGATTGACTATCTTAGCACTACTAAAAAGTCTGAATATTAACATTTCCATGAAAACTGAGCCAACTCAATCTGCTGATGTCATCAAAAGCTCTAGAACAAGGTTTGTAAGTAGGCCTTGAGTTGAGACTGGTTTGTCATAAGCTTTTTCCAAATTTAAAGTCATGCTATAACTGCACGTGGAAATACAACGTGTAGCAAATTTATGTGATAAAAGTAGCCTTTTGAATATGAACAATCAAAAAGCTGAATGAATGCTGTTGTTACTTGTTCCACTAGAGGGAACGCTTGGCCTAGATGTTGCATTACTTTGTTGCCATATGAAACTGTTGTGCCAGGACAGCCTCTGTCTGTACAGTATAGGCTCAGTCTGTGCGAGAGGTTTGTGGAAAGTGTGTGAAACACAAAGTTGGTAACGTGAGACATCACTGACATGAAAAAGGTATAAAGAGAGATGCAGTCTCAATGAGGCAAGGAAGGGCACACTTTGGTGAAAGTGAAGGACGGAGGATATGGCGACAGATTCACGACATGAAACACGAAGATCAGTGAACATCATGACTGAAGCACGGAGAATCTCTCAGAGAAACAGGCAGATAAACAGCCTTTTTCATAAAGCCTGAACTCTCATAACTTTGAAAACTTCAACAATAAAAAGAAGAAAAAAATCAACAGAAAATTGACACTGAAAAATAGTAAGCATATATAAAACACAAGTGTAGCAGAAACAGAATTACTTTTCATGTCTTCACTGTGTTGAGTAAAGGACTGTGATTCTTTGATTCTCCCTGTAAAGTGTTTACTTTCTTCATTGCTTTGCATCTTATCAGATAAGAGTCCAGCAATGGCTGTGTAAACAAAACCAAAAAATACTTCTGCAAATGCGCATTCGCTTAATTGGTTGTGCATGATTCTGCTTCCTCTCCCATTCATTCTGTGATTGGCCCATTTGCCCAGCTGGAGCTGTCATTGGCTGGTTAAAGCCTTAGCTGTCAGAACGCCATGTCTGGTGTGCTTCCACTTCCTCTGAGACGACCAAAAGGAGTTCACAGTTTTTCCCTCGCAGCTGCTGGTGGAGAAACTTCCTGGTTTTGGTCAAATCAAAAACAAACAGGACAGCCACAGTTATGATAATGAAAACACCCATTTGAATTACCAAGTAAAAGAACAGTCAGAATTTAAAATGGTTAGACCTGCTTTAAAGCAAGAGGGGGATGGCAGTGGAATAAGCATTGACACATTATCATCTCATGAAGTTGGTAATAACCAACAGTAGCTTAACTAAATATCCAGCAGATAGGTAGCTACATTATAATTCATGTGGAGTCATGTTTCAGTACACCTGATGAATGACAAAGTCCAATATTCACTCTCCTTTCCACTCTGATTTTGGTCTCTATCAACTCAAATATCTGGCTCTTAAGCTGTTAAAAGCACTGCTACATATGTTCACGAGATGGCAGCTAACTTCTTGTGTCTGCAATTAAACCCTGGCCCTGTAGCATCAGTTATCAGAGCTGTTTGGTAACAAATACAATAAAAGTAACTCTCAAAGCAACCAACGCCACAACAGCATCAAACCAACCTGCTCTGCAAAGACAGATTCAAATGAACGCCACTAAATAAGGATATCCTGTCCCTGAACACACTCTATCCCACAAAGTGATTCACATGACAAACCGAACCAATCAGCTGATTCGCATGACGTCCGACGCACGCAACCACTTCAAACGTCACTAGTCCCGTGCCCAAACCACGCCTCGGCACATTGGTTCGATACAATTGCTTCATGAGCTACCGCGCATGTGTTGGAGCCTCAGGTGTCATAGGGCCATCACTACAGGTCGCCGGTCTATCACAGGGCCGACGTAGACAAACCACCACACACACACACACACACACACACACACACACACACACACACACACACACACACACACACACTCACACACTCACTCACTCACTCACTCCTAGGGGCAAATTAGAGTCGCCAATTAACCTAAGGTGCATGTCTTTGGACTGTGGGAGGAAGCCGGAGAGAACCCATGCAGGCACAGGGAGAACAAGCAAAAGTTTGGTTCTTGTGCCACAAGGTAGAACGGCTACACTGACTACTCTATTTGAGTCAACAGAGTTTAGCTCCTTTTTTTTTTTAACTCTCAGTGATGCCGCACTAAAGAAATACAGTGGGGCAAATAAGTATTTGATACACCGCCGAGTTTCCAAGTTTTCCCCACTTACAGAGAATAGAGACATCTGTAATTTTCATCGTAGGTACACCTCAACTGTGAGAGACAGAATCTACAAAGAAATTCCAGTAAATCACATTGTTAGATTTTTAAATAATTTATTTCCATTTTATTGCATGAAATAAGTATCTGATCACCTACCAACCAGCAAGAATTTGGCTCTCACAGACCTGTTAGTTTGTCTTTAAGAAGCCCTCCTATCTAGTCCGTCCGAATCTCATTCATACTACCAGGCTTCATACTATACAGTACCTACTGTTTTAACGGTCAGTAAGTAGGTACCTTATCTCTTTCAGTACGTACTGTCACAGTATGCGGTTTTGGACGCAGCCCAACTTCTCCACTATGGGCAAGACCAAAGTACCCCAAATTGTAGACCTGCACAAGGCTGGGATGGGCTACAGGACAATAGGCGAACAGCTTGGTGAGAAGGCAACAACTGTTGGCGCAATTATTAGACAATGGAAGAAATTCAAGATGACTGTCAATCTCCCTCGGACTGGGGCTCCATGCAAGATCTCACCTCGTGGAGTATCAGTGATCCTGAGAAAGGTGAGGCATCAGCCTAGAACTACACGGGAGGACCTGGTCAATGACCTGAAGAGAGCTGGGACCGCAGTCTCAACGGTTACCATTAGTAACACACTACACCGTCATGGCTTAAAATCCTGCAGCGCACGCAAAGTCCCTCTGCTCAAGCCAGCACATGTCCAGGCCCGTCTGAAGTTTGCCAAAGACCATCTGGATGATCCAGAGGAGGCATGGGAGAAGGTCATGTGATCAGATGAGACCAAAATAGAACTTTTTGGTATAAACTCCACTCGCTGTGTTTGGAGGAAGAAGAAGGATGAGTACAACCCCAAGAACACCATCCCAACCGTGAAGCATGGGGGTGGAAACATCATGCTTTGGGAGTGCTATTCTGCAAAGAGGACAGGACGACGGCACTGTATTGAGGAGAGGATGGATGGGTCCATGTATTGTGAGATTTTGGGCAACAACTTCCTTCCCTCAGTAAGAGTATTGAAGATGGGTCGTGGCTGGGTCTTCCAGTATGACAATGACCCCAAACACACAGCCAGGGCAACTAAGCAGTGGCTCCGTAAGAAGCATTTCAAGGTCCTGGAGTGGCCTAGCCAGTCTCCAGACCTGAACCCAATAGAAAATCTGTGGAGGGAGCTGAAACTCTGTGTTGCCCAGTGACAGTCCTAAAACCTGAAAGATCTGGAGATCTGTATGGAGTGGGCCAAAATCCCTGCTGCAGTGTGTGCAAACCTGCTCAAGAACTACAGGAAATGTCTGACCTCTGTAATTGTAAACAAAGGTTTCGGTACCAAATATTAAGTTCTATTTATATTGTATCAAATACTTATTTCATGCAATAAAATGGAAATAAATTATTTAAAAATCTAACAATGTGGTTTTCTGGAATTATTTTGTAGATTCTGTCTCTCACAGTTGAGGTGTACCTACGATGAAAATTACAGATCTGTCCATTCTTTGTAAGTGGGAAAACTTGGAAACTCGGCGGTGTATCAAATACTTATTATACAAATACTTATCTAATAACGGGGGAACTGGGAGACTGGGTTATTAGCTGTAGGCTAACCTTCAGCACTAAGTTAGGCTGCTACCAGGGAGTCAAATGTAATACTCCAACAGCAATACTCGTATAAATAATGTTCAATTCTTATATCATGGAAAGAAACTCCAGGGTCCAGCTGACATTCAAAAACTGTGCACTCTGGCAAATTTGCTGTCAACAGATAAAAGTAACCCTAACCCTAAACCAACAGACTGCAGCCACAAGATAATCTGAACTGCTTTTCTTTGCTGTGTTACCAGAGCTTTCGCAATTTGCACAGCAATATTAATCTATTATTAAACCAAACTCAATACTTCCTGCAGCTGCAAAACAAAACCTACCAGCAGTGAAGCGATTCAGTGTCTTTACTTTGACAGAGCTACAGAAGGTGTAGTCACACAGTCACAGAAGTTTTTAACAGACTCAATAGCAAATCTATAACTTTTTCAATAATTGTAGATCAATCTTACTCTGGACCAAAGTGGTAAATACACAAAGAAACATAGCCACGACAAAACAACGCCGTCATGGTAAGCACACATCTCATAACATAAAAATGTCCCATTGCTCTCACCTGAGCTCATCTGGACTGCCAATGGGTTGAGGGCTACGCAGCTTGGAGTCCAAGTTGTAGTAGACCCCTCCCACCTCTCTGACTCCTATCCAGTGCTGGCGTTTGAGCGGCAGCCGGAGGGGCCCCCAGCGCAGGTTGGATGGGACATTGAGAATGAAGCCCGTCACGTTGGACAGCTCAATGCTACCCACATCCCTGGATGAAGAAGGGCAACATTTAATTTTTGTAAACTTCCCTTCTGTAGTTCTCATAAGTGGTAATAATCACAATGCCAGCATAACAGTCATAAAGTAGACATTAAATCAGATAACATTTCACAATATTGTTCCCAGTACACCAATAATAAAACAGAACATGCTATACATGTTGCTGTATCAACTACAGGACTATTCCTTTACTCAATGGAATTTCAGCTGTGATTAAGAACAGCACATTGTTGTTGTTGTTTTTTTTAAGGTTAAGGAAGCATTTCCAATCTACAGTACCTTTGACAAGGTTACTGTCTGGAAGCCGATTGTAAAATCATGACTTTCAGATTTTCCAGCAAGCACTTAAATGCACCAACATATACAGTATATAACGGATATATAAAAACGGTCTCAGGTCCCAGCTACATTACTAACACACTTGACCAAAAATAAATAAATAAAATAAATTCATCTTTAATTCTTATATCTTAGTAGGAAATATACAATAGGCTACATGCTATAGTTTAAATCACCATTGTGCACGAACCGTCAGCAGCACTGAGTAGCACTGTTGTTATTGCCAGTAGATTAAGATTAACTATGATTTTGTTCCTGTTTTAGTCAAGTCAAAAGCAACATGGCTTTTCTGATAACGTTAATGTAATACTGATAAAAGCAAGTCTGTGGCCGCTGTTGTTGTCAACACTCAGTCAAGACTGATAATGAGGGAAGAATGCTGATAAAACTGTCTTGTAGTCTTTGTCTAACTGATAGAACTGATGACTAATAAGCAATCATTCAAGGCCCCTGTGATTAATTCACTGAGGTGCAGTGGGAGACACAAGGAGCTACTACTTTTACCTTATATTTACATTCTAGGACATTCCTATGCTATAGATAGCAAGCCAGTTGGGCCATCCACTGTATAACTTGAGCAAATACAATGCAGATTATATCTGTCAAGTCACCAAGTATCTGCTCTTTGCTTGGGTGAGGATAGGATTCAGGGATGCTTTGTATTTAGGTCAGAGTGGAAAGGAGAAAAAAAAAGCAAATAAGATGAGGATAAATTGTTTTGCTTCTGGTTTAGGCTGTCCCTGACCCTCATACTGACCATTTAGGGAAAACAACTAGGACAGCAGTCAAAAGATATACTGCAGCTACAACATAAGCAGTTAGTGATAAAATGCACCATAAACACTTGATATGAACACGAGTCAGAACATAAGAAACTGCTGTTTTTGCTGCCAGCCCTACATACCTTCTTTTATCCCACCAAACTGCCTCAAACCCCCGGGTCTGCAGGGCTGCCATAATGACGTTGACATCATAGTTCCCATTTCCAAGCATGCTTTTCTTGTGAGGTGTCACCAGAGTACTGGGAGAAAGCCTGACGCAAGTTGACAAGAGAGATTAACAGATGATCCATTTTATGTAGACATGCCAAGTATTGGTATAGCCTGTACACCAGCTCACCTCTGGTATATCTCCTGCAAGGTGTCCCGACTGAAGGCTGTCCCATCCTGGAAGACATTGTTGAGTGCATGCAAGGCGCACAGCTCCCTCCGCTGCTTCTCATGGTAAATAGCTGGAGGTGTCAGACAGGACTGTGGAGGTGCTTGAGGGGTGAGGGAGGAAGAGGAGGATGAGAGATCCTGCTGTTGCGACTCCCTGGGATCCTTGCACCTCTTCTCCTCCACTGCAACCTCACCTCCTCCTCCTCCACCACCACCACCTTTCTGCTTGCTGATCTTCCAGGGCATGCAGCCCAGCTCCTGCAGGCTGCCTCGCCCCTTCCCCTTCCACTCACCAGCTGGATAAGGAGCACTTCCCATCCCTGGACTGCCGCCGCCGCCGCCGCCACCACCACCACTTCCTCCAGCTCTGACACTACCTCCACAACTACTACCTTCAGGATGCTACATTGGCATCATGACAACTATTGCCATAGCAACCTCTCAACTGCTTGGAAGAGAGAAGCTTGTGTGTCTCGTGTCTTGTGTGTACGGTGTAGAGGGAGATGAGAGTTTCAAGGTAAGTGAGACCTGTGGCTGAGTAACACTGCTGCTCTCCTGAAAGGACAGATGTGAAGAAAGGTCACCAGGAGGGAGAAGGTACAAACTGAGACTCAAGATGGGACTGCCAGCTAAAAAAACAAAAACAAAACAGGCACACACAAACAAACATACTCCAGATGCTCGCAACTGAAAGATTACTTCTCCAGCAGCACCACAGTTGTGTTGTCAGTCAAACTGTTGCTGGTTGCCCTCTGTGACTTTCCACTTCCTACATCATCTGTGTTTGCTTGTGCTAACATCTCTTCCACCCAGTCACCAAGCCCATAGCTTTGCAGTTCGTTCCATCACCTTACTGCTGACCGTGAAAGGTGACTACCACTGGAAGAGAAGAAACAATAGTTCAATGCTGAGCAGAGCAGGAATCCTGAAGAACACCTGAACAGAAAGACAGAAAGAAAACCAGCATGTTCATGATTAGCATTTGGACTCATCTTCATTAAAACAAGTTTTGCAGAGCACATTAAACAACACAGCCATGCTTATTATTGGTTGTGGTAGATAGCTGACACATTTTAAGATGTTACAATCTCCTCTTTGTCTGCAGACCCCAGAAAGAAGAAGGCAAACATTTCGAGTAGCTGGGACTGGATATAGAAAGCAGGCTGCTCAGTAAGCTAGCAAAACATGCCAACAGCCCCGTAAGTAGGAAGACATGCACAGACAGAGCGTATACAGCCGCGGTTATACTCTGAAGCCAAAAATGTACCTATGCAATTAATCCATAAGGGTAACGGATATCTACGTTAGTCCCGTGACTCCCGTGTCTACAGCAAACACAAGACCTTTACGCCTTATAACGTCGTTTTCTCTCAACGACCACTTACCTGGCTGTTTCCTGGCGGTGGTATAACCGCTGGATTATCGTAAACTGCTCTAAAATCTCAATAAACTCCCAGTTGTTTCCTTACAGACTGCTCTGTCCTTTGTCTTGACCACTTTTTTCCTGGTGTGTCTATCCGTCCGTGCACACATGCACATGCGCAGTAGCGTCTCCCTGGCTCCATGTTGCTGTCACCGCCTGCGTCAGCGGACAGTGGAGCAGTCTGTCCCCCGCCACTTCCAAAGGTACGTTTAAATAAACAAGGGCAGCGAGCGGCTTTGTAGAGTTAACTTTGGAAAACGTTGTATTTTCAGGCCACTTACCAACCATGAAGAGGATGACAGTGTAACAGGAAAACCTAAGTAGGCTCAGCCAAACATGCTATGATGCTGAATGATTGATTAAAGCACCTGTAACAAATGTTTTTATATCAACAGTCAATCACATGGCTCCATGTGACAGACGTTGCTAGAATTAAGGAACCCAGGGAGAATTACCACCTGACTTTGCAGTTCCCCTCAGCTTTGTGGAGATTTTCATTTCCTTTCAGCTTATTGCTTTGGTTTTTACATGCAACTCTAATGTTGTGATTCATTTCCACTGCTCTCATTATTCTTTAGCAGCAGGCAGCTGTGTTTGCTGAAGAGGCTTTAAAAAAAAAGAGAAAGCTGCCACTTGGCCATGTTTCTTTGTGTATTTACCACTTTGGTCCAGAGTAAGATTGATCTACAACTATTGAACAACTATATTATTCACTTTACTCTTAGTTCGTCTTTGGTTTGTGAACTCCTGAGAATACTGTGGTCATAAAAACTGAAACAAAGACTTAAAAGTCAGTTAATGTTAGTATAGCCTAAACTGTATGCTTATAGGATATAGAGGATTGAATACTTTTAAACAAGACTGATATGTCACTTTAGTGTTATACTAAATATTAGACGTTTACCGTAAAGCATTTGTCAGCATGTTACTGTTATTTGTTGCCTGTGTGATTACGATTATCTTTGACCACGACTACATTAATACAGTCTGTAACACCTGAAATTAAATTTGAGCCGGCTCATATTTATTTGATTGTTTTATTGTAGATAAGTAGAATGAACAGCACTGCTGAACTCTAGTCCTAGTATGAATTCTGTTTATTTTCCATGATTATCAGCAGCACAAACTTTAAAGTTTGATATGTCTCATGAATTATAAAAGACATAGTAGAGGTAAGATCTGGAACGTGAGGCGCAGTGAACAGACATCAAAGACTTATGACACATTACAATAGGAAAATGAAGTGACCCTGATATTGAACCAAAAGCATTCGAAGCAGTGGCAGTAAATTCAGGACAGTGGTGAACCAACAAAGAATTACCCTGGCACTTAAATCAGAATTGCATTGCACTTCAATGAATACTGCCTTATTTTTCACTACCCCAGAACCTCTTTCACATGGAATTACACCAATAACAGGAGAAATCCTTCTCTTATTTACATGTGTCTCAGTTTTCTAGCCAGTGCAGAGGACATGTCAGCTAGCAGCTCCTCCCTCATGCAGTCTTCCCTCCTCTGCAGCTCGTGGGTGAAATGCCCTCTCAGCTTCTTCATCTCCATCACACGCCCCAGTAGTTGCCTGCGTGTCACACTCTGTGCCTCCGGGAGGCGGTCTGCCCTGTTGTCTAGCAGCTCAGGCCTCTGGCCACATAGAGACACAGCCCTTTTCAGACCTCCAGCATCCACATCTAGCAGATGATCTACAGTATACCTTTGATCCAGCCGGTCTGCATGGGTGAGCACTGGGATGATGTATTGCATGACCTCATCTCCAAATAGTTCCAGAGTGGACTGGATTGCTTGGGCAGCATTGTGGTTGATCCCCATGCTGGAGCATGGGGCGTGGATCACCAGTAGGAAGGCATGTGGTCCAGGACTGGTGAGCTGAAGACACCTCAGAGCTTCTCTAGCTCTGTTGTTGTTCCCCAGTGATGGCCCTAAAAGATCTGGGGTGTCGATCACTGTAACCTTTCTACCATCCACTACCGTACCTTGTTTGGTGCTCTCCATTATGGGGCCCATGGATGCCCTTGTCTCACTGTTTCCCATCAAAGTGTCTGCCAGGGAGGTCCGTCCTCCACCAGGGGATCCAAGGAGGATCAGCCTGAGGCTTGGCTTGGTGTTGCTGCTGGTCAGAGCAGTCTCTGCTCCACTGCTGGACGGCCCTGCAGAGGTTTCATACATTTTTAGATAAATAATAAAGCACTTTGCAGAAGAGCTGTGATTCTCAGCCTAAACTCCATTTCAAAGACAGAAAAAGTATCAAAGGAAGATTACAGTGAACTGACCTGTGACCGCTTTGATGACAGCAACCAGCCACTTACATTTGGAGGATAATGCTAATGGTGGAGCAGATTAGAAGTCAGTAGTTTGACCTTTTATTTATCGGCCAATAATTATTATGCAGCTCTGTCACTAATTTAGCCCCAGTTTCTTCAAATACCAAATTGCTGTCATGTGTCTGCTTGAATTTCTGGAGTCCCTTCACCTGACATACCAAGTGAAATTGTGGAGGGTAAATTTCCTGTTAACTTTCACATAAAAAGTAACTTTGAAGCACACAGTGAAGAGTACTCACCATGAAACACAAATGTAGGCAGCACTCACCTATGATAAACCGCCACATCCGAGACAGCCATTTAAACAGGCTCTGGATTACTGAGACACAAGACATACATAGAAGAGTGAGCATACAGCAGTTCCTTTTGGCTTCACATGTTAGTTTTTATTCTTCATGGTCAGAAATTAGGGATGTACAATAGTTTATACCATTGAGGGTTCTCACAAGGCGGCTCACCCAGCTCCACAGAGCTGACAGACCTGAGGCAGAAGAAGATCACACATTAATGTTCTTCTGGTTGTTTTCATTTTATATCAGACACAAACACGACAGTCATATTAGATTATTCCTTTATGTATAGTGGATGATAGATTTGCTTATAACTTGCCAGTTAAAGAGCAGAAGAGACGGATCGGCCAACGGATCAGAGCTGGAAGAGCTAAAGAGAAAGCAAACTACAATTAGCATTACAGCCAAAGTCATGAAGCACAACTGAGGACTATAATAAGCAAGAAATTCAACAGGTCTCATATTGTTTGGGTTCATGTGCTCACATTTCAGTTTTCACTGCTACAGGCATTATTTGAAAACCACACAGTCTATTTCAACTTAAACCAGCCGAATACTGAAAAGGTGAAGACTGAGATGTGACTCAGATCCTGCAAATTGCCTTCATTACACAGATCCCATTACATAGTATCTTTCCCTGGTCACTTCCTCAAACATTAAAAATCTGGAGAGCTGCATTTGGGATAAGAGGATGCTGATTACTTTACATTTTGTGGTACTCAGTGCATATTTATAAATAATTCATACTTTAATTCCACACTGCTGTAGTACTGCAACTCCATTTATTTAAGTGATGGGCATTTCCTGCACTGTAAAAAACAAAATTCAAACTGATTTCAAAGCGTAGCTTCATTTAATGAATAAGACTGGTATTATTTTATATTTTTCTTATTACCATCAAATCCCATGAGAAGACCAAAACCAACCATGTTGTGTGTCTGTATCTCAAGACTGTTCTACCCTGTGTGTGGCACTCAGCTCAACGCCCATTCATTCCCACTGAACATGTACATTTTAAAAGGCATTTCACAAACAAATAGTAAGAGTTTTTTTTACAGGCCCACTATTTTGCTTAAACTGCAGAGCTGGTTTTAGAAAATGTTACTCAACCAGCGTAAACAGTGTATTTGTTGGAGCATATTTTAACAACCAGATAATTACACATTTGGTACATTAAGTTGGCAGCAAGCCACTTAAATAAAGTTCATCAGTGTGCCTGTTTTTAATAGTGTTTGGACAAAAAGCATAGTCTGTGGCACAGATGAATAAGACACTGGGCTGTACACAGACAGGACTTCAAAGCTGGTTTTGTACCTTTAAATAGAATTTGGTGACAATATGAAAAACATAGAATATCACCAGCTTTATTGTGTTACCCAGTGCAGTGGTGTGTTTCCCTGATGTGTTTTTAATTATTTTTGAATGACAGTGGAGGTCTATCCAGGACTGACAGACATTAACCATGAGTAGAGGCAAATCATTGTTGGTTTTAGTCTCTGTATTGGGAATGTTGAAAATACTGTTAATATAGAAAATGACCAGCCTTACACTTTAAATCAGAATGTGCGTTTGATTGCAAGTCTGTTGAAGCTGTTAATGTGTATGTATATATATGTTAATACATGTCACTATGTCACTAACAACTGAGGGGGCTAAAGTGACCCTCTGCCACTAGCACCCATATTCCTTGGCTACACCCCTGGTAATAGGCTACCATCTAAACCATAAAAACCATTTCTGACACAATATGATCTATTCTTTTTAGAATCGTCTGTGGAGGACAGGTCAATGAGTCAGAGAAACAACATGGCTGATATGTCAAGTGATCTTTCTGTTTTTACAAATTCATGTGAACTGACTCTGGGAGAATCTGTAGAGGAGATACCCCACCACAGTGAACGCTCCCATCTGGATGGTGTTGTTGTTCATCCACCAGCCTAAGCAGAGAGTGGAGAGAGGAATGCATGACATTAATATTGCAGTGTTGTTCACAACTTATTATGAGGTTTACCTTTAACCCACCGTGACATGCAGAATGAAAGACTAACTCACAGGGAATTCCTGTTGTTGAATACAAGGCTTTGTGTGTATGTGGCTGTAGTCATATCCAGGTTCACAATCATAGTAAACCCTTTCAGATTAATATTTATATGTAAAGTCTGACCTCACAATCTCTGTCATATTAGGATTATTTTGGTAGCAAACATATTAGTTTTGTTTAAAATTGATTATATAATAATACAACATGAAACATTGTTGGGTAGTATTTTCTTTTAATTGTCATAACTGAAAGGTACCAAGTGCTCAATTGCAATTTATTTTTAAAAACTAACCTGAAAGTCAAAATATTTTGCTGCAAACCTGGTGATAAACTGCCCAGTCTACACAATATGCTTTCCGAATGTAAGAGCTTAGGTTTTGCAAATATAAAAACTCAAAATTACAACATGAAAGAAAGACCACTGAGACTTAAAAATTACACTAAGGCCCAGTATAGATGGCATTGTCAAACAATAAAGTTAAAATACAAATTACTGTATATTTTCTATGATGTACTGCAGACATCTTTAAAGGTATGTTTGATCAGTTTTTAATATTCCTTCTTACCTGTAACAGCATCCTCAGTGCTGTCCTTTTCACAGTGACACTCCATTTACTTTCAGCCTATGTCTAGGTGACAGGACTACTGCTCACAACTTTCAAATAAACCTAGGATTGATATCTGAATTAAAAAAAAAAAGTCACAGTTGTAGTTTCATAATGGGGTAAACCAAAACCGAAAACCTAGACAGCAGTATCAAGTAGTGCAAAGGTCTGTTTTAACCCATATCAACCTGATGTGTAGTTAATTCAAGCTTCCAGAGGAACGCCATCTACTTTCAGTTTGTAAAAATCTGACGCAACTCACGTGGCCAGAGTTGTATGTGATCCCTTCTTCCTGTTATTGTGCAGTGCCGTTTGCCAGCATAGGCCTGCCCTCAACGGGAACACAGCTTCTGTTATTGTGCCGTGTGTTTCAACAATGCAGTGGGTGGGTCAAGGTATGCTGATCATGCTGCAGTCTCGCTGTGTAAGGACACACCTTTGTTCTTGCTACAAGAAGAACTGGAACTGCTGCTTAAACTGTCCAGTATACCCACTCATGCAGTCATTGAAATTAAACAAAGCAGACTCAGATATAGAAAAGGTTTTTGTTTTATTAAAGCAAGATTACCAACAAGTGTCACCACTAGTTATAATATGACCGTGTTTATAGTTACAGGATGTTTTTGTTATAATGTTGTAACTCATATCAACCAGTTTGAAGGTTTTTTTTTTTTTTTTTTTTTCCATTTAGACATTATTTACGTAATGTGGGACTGATAAGAACTGCAAATGTCAGCACACTATGCTGCCTTTCAACATGTCTAATCTTGTCAAGCAGAACAGGAAACTTGTATTGTTGCTAACACAGTGGCAGGTCTGTCCAATTTTTTTAACCAGAATATGATTTGTGAGGCATTTCTACATTTGGAATCAGCAGGCATACTGATCTGAAACCCGTATGCCTGCTCCTGAAGGCACACAGAGTCAGATATCTCACTCTTCATGAGGCCAGGCGGGCAATCAGAGCATCTATCAGCTCCTGTTTCTTGGTCCCAGTGGTCCGAACCCCAAACTGCTTACAGGCCTCCTTCAGCACGGGCACGGTCAGCTTTCCCAGGGTGCCGTTCTGCATATGGGCCCTCAGCTCATCCTCTGGTACCTCCACTTTGGGCTTTTTCTCAGCTCCAGCTCCAATATCCGCTACAAGTTCATTCAAAGAGAAAGCATTCAGTCAAAAGAGTAATGAGTATAAAGTAACCACAGTACTGGGTGGTGTAACTTCAAAATCATCTGTACTTATAAGTTTCTCAGTCAAACCCCTGCCAAAACTGTGTACTGAGCCATACAATTCAGACTAACAACAACAGTAGGCAAAAACAACAACATCTTTTTGCTAATTTCTGTTATGACTCCAGCTCTACCTGTTTTGCGTTTGGCAGCTGGCTTGTTCTCTGTAGTGTAGCCTGCAGGGTAGACCAGATCTTTAAAATCCTGGACCAGAGGACCAAGACGCTTGTCAATCTCGTCCACCTTTGGCACTGAGACGGAAGGACAGAGAAAGAGAAAGGCAGGGAAAGCGTGTCAAAGAAACAAGCAATGGCTGTATTAGATACAGAAGGAACAAGGCTTTCTGTGTTTGTCTGCATCTTACTGATGAGGTCCTGTGTGTCTTCTGGGGCCATCATATCCAGAGCCAAAGCCTCCAGGTTCCTGTAATGCTGCTGGATGACTGGGTTCTCAAAAGCATCACTCCTGCATTACATTGCAAACAATGAAAAAGCATTACTGACAGAAACCGACTGAATGGTATTGGTGTTGGTTTTGTTAGCCTACCTTTTGTCATTTAAGTTTACAGACTGTTACTGCACCCCAATTTGTTTTTCCTGGGTTTTTTTTTTGGCATCTACTGTAGAAACTGAAACCTGTGTAAAGCACTGAACATGTGCAGCTACCTGTATGTGAAGCGGAGCTTGGAGACAATCTCCTTCATCTTGTCCACCTGTGTTTGTGAGGCAGACGGGCACCGGGGAGGATCCAGAGTCCGTATGTCGTCAGCGTACGGCAGATAGATAACATTGAAACCTGGTCCAGGCAAAAGATGACAGCCATCAAGCTATAGCACAGTACAACTATTTGCCTTTCTTGCTTATCAATATAAACTGTACAGCTGTTTACAAAGACTAGATGAGACAAATATAGTAAAAATATTTAAAGAGTGAGCAAACATTTGTATGCAGTAAAAAGTGACAGGACTACAGCTGCTTCAGCCATTATGGGTGGGACTGATCAGCTTAACCAAACCCAGTGAGGCTCCTGCTGAGCCTGGCAGTGTGTTACCTGGTGGGGTAATCTGTACTTTCCCTTCATCTGTCTCCTCTTTCTGAGGTACTAGAGCAACAAATCGAGGAGGGTAGTTTCGGCGGGGGATGCAACGGCACACAGCGAACACGTTCTTCTCGCTACACTTCGTCAACAAGGCAGAGAACAGACATGCGCTGCCTATGGAGGAAAACAACACACAGCAGTTCAGTCAGTAAAGATGTAGCTCCCAGCACTGTAACCTTATTTTGTCAATTTCATTTTTATTTTAATTATTCATATAATATCACTATATTTAATAAATAATTATTTCTCCCATTAAATATTAGCACCCACCTTATCAAGAAAAAGTCTTTTGGTATGGCAAAAACCCATAATGCTCACACAGACACACAGAACTACCTTGCACCTCGTCCTCTTCAGGATACAGGAAGACAGAGGGCCGGATATGGTGGTGCAGTTTGAGCTTCTCCATAGGTTTGAATCCCATCAGATATAGGCCAGGATCATCAAACTTCTTGATGGCGTCCACCTCGTCCTTCTCCATCACTATCTGCTTTTTACCATACACCTACAGCAGACATACAAAACAAAGAGGAAAAAAAAACAAAACAAAATGAATGAATGACAACTGCTGATAATCTCTGACATTTATGTTATGTTAGTTATGCCACCAACTAAATTAGGTAACTTTATTTGGTTGATATATTTCTCTGGTCAGTCTGGTGCATAACAGAACACAATAAAGGATGCATTACCAGTTAGTTAAAAAAACCTAACTAACACTGTACAGCACATAAATCTCTCACAAAAAAAGAATCAGAATTAGCCTTTTACTTTGTCTGGTCTTACCTGGGCTTTCTTTATCTCACTGGGGAGTAGCAGGCTGCCAGTCTGGGTGTGGAAGGTGCGGGTTTTGCTGCGGACTGGCTCATTGGTTTCCCTGTAAAGTTTGATGGGTCCGGGTTTTCGGGCTGTTACAGCAGTTGCATAAATTCCCACCGCTACATTTATGCCCTCACCAAGTCTAAGGTTTAACCTAAGGATAGCACAGAGGGAAAGACGGAAAGCAGCGAGTAAGAGTTTACTGATCAAAAAGCAACCAGATGGGTTAATATTTCAGGTTAATAAAAAAGGGAAAAGGACATAAAAGCTTATCTGCCTGGAAATATAAACTTGTCTCTTATCTCTACCTAGCTAAGGTTCTCTTTTTCTGCTCCTTGACTCGCACCCTCTTCTTGAGATCATCCAGTTTGTTACAAGGTTCCAGCTGCAGCCCCAGCTCACTCTCATCCTCTGGCGGACTTATAATGTCACAAAAAAACAGAGAGACATCGAAGCCGCCTGGTTTCATCAGGTGCATCAAATCTATAACAACACCTAGGAGAACAGGGGCAGGTGAGGTGAGGCCTCATGAAAGTGAAGCATTTTTACAGTTGCAATGCAAAGTTTTATACAGTGAAAATAACAGTAAAAATCTAAAAAAAAAAAACATTGTATGAAGTGAAGTGAGTGTTTTAAAGGTTTCAGTAGCTTTTGCTTTGGACTCACTGGTGTCTTTGAGGTCACCAGCCTTGGTGCGAGCCTGTCGGTCCTTTGCACTGTCACCCCCGTGTGGTTCGTCTCTGCAAGTAAAGATCATGAGCCGCTTATGTGAAAGGCGAAGCTTGATGTCGCTATAGAGGTTGGCGCAGCACCACAGGGCATCGCCTAACGATGTCTCCCCACTGCCTATGGTCTCTGCTGCTAGCTTGGCACCCTTTTCCCCACGCATAGCCTCCACTTCCTGCACTCGTTTTGCACCTTTGGAAAATAAGGAAACAGAGAGATATAGCCTGTAAGACATCATGGAAGGTAGATGATGAAAAACAGAATGACCGTGGGTCTGCAAAAGATATATTTTACAAGGTAAAACATTATTTAGAAGGAAAGAAAAAGTTAATGCAAAATTTTCATTGCAGGGGCACCAATATTGCTCTTCTCTGAGCTGATCCAAATACTGATTATCAGATTAAGAGGGCTTCTTTTAGTGCTTGCTGTATATTTTACTATACAAGAATTGATAAATGAATTCACTAAATACTCTGTAAATTCTTAAGCTTTGTGAAACAATGTGATAACAATAAGAAGTTACAAAGTTAAATGTTTTTTATGTGAATACATTAGTCATTATACCTTTGCCCACATTTTTGGCAGCATTTTACATATAGTGTGACCATGTGTTAGTTTGAAAATGCAGCATATTACCTGGTTCATCAAGGCTATGGTACACATACACGTGCTTGAATGAGTTCCTGGGGTTTTTGCTCTGCTCTGTGCCGTAGAAAACCAGAGCCACCAGGTCCCTGTGGCTACTGATGATCTTACTGGTGTACACACTGGACACGACCTACAAGGACATAATAGAGACAGCTATTATCATAAGAATGATAAATGAAAAATAAGTAATAAAGTAATTCTATAGCTGTGACATGCTGTAGATAATCTTGAGAGGTTTTCGGTTTTCTTATACAATTTCAGTCTTAGCCTCTACATATACATCTGAGATAATTCCAGCACATTTCAATTCCAAAACATATTAGGACCTAATTCAGTGTCCAAACATTTCAGGTGTTGCAGTACACGGATTCTGTCACACAAAAAAGGTGGCAAAGAAAAGACAAAACAAACACGACAAACAATAGCAGAAGAGAACGCTATCGGGCCACCTTACCTGCATGGTCATGTCAAAGTTGGAGGGCTGTCCATCTTCTCCTTTGATGAACATTTCCTTAGAGGCATCAACCAAGAAGACCAAACTGTCTCTCCCTGTGATTCTGTAGTTTCCTAACAAAGACAGAGACTCTGATTTATTCTGGTGTAACTTTAAGGGGTCAGTCTTACTTTTTTTGTCACATGTTGTCATTTACAGTTCCCTAAATGGGAAATATGACATGACATGAAGTATTCAAAGGAAATACTCTATGTAGCAGCCAGAAATAATGACCAAACAGAGAGATCAACTGTAGCTAACAATCCTGCATTATTTGGACCTCAAATGAAGTAATGAGGATGCATTCATCTCACCTCCAGCTTGCTCTCCTTCCTCCTGCTCCTCATCCTCATCCTCGTTTTGGTAGTAAGTGGTCCACTCTGCCATTAGGATTGCTTTTGTTTGGTGAAAGAGCAAAAGTAGCCTATTTAAATCGTGTAGTACCACATCACTTGGACTGGATCCAAACAGTGTAATTTCTAGCAAAAGGCATTTATTTATCCATTTATTCAACTATTATGTATACATGGTGGTCCGACGGGAGCAATTCGGTCTATTTCATAGCCACCCTGTGTACAAAGGACACCAAAAGCAAGTGCAATACTTCACCAAATAGAACTTACAGCCGCGAATACTTGATAAAATTGAGAAAAATTAAAGCGGAATTAAACTAGGACTGAAACAACAAGTAGCGTCTTGTTTGGCACTGATAGCCTAGCTCTGATCCACTGCTCTGGACTAGCACCTAGCATTGATGTAGTACTGGAATACCCAAGGTACATTATCAGTACTGAGGTAACGTTACCGAGTAAAATGCGTGTGATAACGTTACATCTTATGCAGTCAGTCGGTGTTGCCCAGCTGGTGAACTACTGATTTGCTGTGCTTCTTAAAAACTTTATGAAGCTACTTGAAATAAAAATAAGCGTGGTGGTATTTTAAGCAAAGAACAGTGACTGTACAAATGATAAAGCGATTATAAAATATCTCTAATTATTATTATGACGTTATTAAAGTTTAATTACCCAGGGTCTTAAATTTTAACAGGACAATGTAACGTTATCTAGCTTAGCCTGTACAGCTTGTACTTAGCCACATTTCGTTTAATGGGATTTTTGAGCCGCTTAGTTAACAACTATGTCTTTTTGATGACGCACACAAAGCACATAGATTAAACACAAATAAACAATAATAGTTATTAAGACATTGCATAGGCACACATTGACTTACCAAGAAAACTCCCTAGAGTCGCATTCAAGACTGGACCAGCCTTGCGCGCTAAAGTACATGAACGAGCACGCCGAACAATCATACGGAACGGCTCATCTTCTATTGGGCGCTTGTCTGCAAATCTAAGATACTGTCCAATCCTAGTAAAGTAGGCGGGATTTCTTTGCAGAGCGCGTCTCCGGAACAAGGAAGTATTAGTTTCCCATGACAAATTGATATTTGAGAGTCATGTTGTTGTTTGTAGTAAGACTGTGATACAACACCGACTGTCGGCACACGTTGCCTTCAGGCTTTTACTGTTGGATTTATTTCACTACATTATTTATTACTTTTCATGTTTAGACTCATGAGAGTTCCAGGATACGCTTTTAATTGGCTGAAGTTTTATGTGCCATCTAACTGCAACTAGCTAACTAGCCCTAACGTTTGGTGGATGTGATTCACCTGACTTTAAGTTAGCTGTGATTTGAAGAAAATCCTCGTTTGTCGGCATGGATCAGACAAGCTCTTATCCAGTGAAACTGTACATTTACGACATATCCAGAGGCATGGCCCGCCAGCTGAGTCCACTCATGCTAGGTGAGTTTCTTACTAGGTAGTTGGCTTTCTGAAATCCGCAGAGAGTGCTCCCTGGGCCCGCGAGAGAAGCCAGGAGGTAGCGGGGATGCTCTCAGGGCCCAGCTATAATTTTATTTTCAGTTAACTTTATACGATAGTAGATACATAAATAAGGTTGTAGCAATAATGCTTTCTAATTTAAATGTGTTTATTTTGTCTTTACAGGGAAACAGCTTGATGGGATATGGTGAGTGTAGCTTTTTATTGCAGGTTAATTTTTTAAGTCTTCTTATCAATAATCCTGTGAACTGCGGTTAATTACTTCATGGCTTTGTTGTAATCGAAAAAGTATATTTTGGTGCCTTACAGGCACACTGGTGTTGTGGTCCACGGAAAGGAGCACTATTTTGTTGGAGAAGGCATCAGCAGTTGTTTACCTGTAAGAATCAGCCCCTTCCTTTTCCTCAGACATCCAGCATGTTACACATTGCCCTTTGAAACCTATAGTGTTTTAAGTAAAAGGTAATGGATCAAAATGCAGCTTTTGTTGAAGTGTCTGGAACGTGCACCTTTATTTGTGTTATAGGGTGGCACCCTCTTGGGTGAACCTGACTCCATAGTTGACCTGGGTTTCACTGAGGTGCCTGAAGACATATTTATGGAGCATCTGACTTCACTGGGAGAGTCTACATACGGGTAAGAGCTGTGGTTCATCGAAGAGTCTTAACACAGAGTGAAACACCGGTGCATTCATCCTGAAGGTTAGGAAGTCTGTTGTGATAAATGCAACCATTTTCTTTCTTGGAACCCTTTTTTATCATTCATTATATGTGGTCTTCATTATACTTTGGATTTTTGAATTAGTGAAATTAGTGGGGGGGAAAACAAATTTAAATAACTTGAACTGGCTTGAATTGTGAACTCTTATTTATCCCCATAATTACAGCCTTTTATATTCAAAGTTAATATATTGGTTAATATAATGAACATTATCTTGAATTCTTGACAAATTAGCTTCACTTTACATTTAGAGTCTAAAAATACATCTGATGTCCTTAGTTCTTCTGTTATCTCTGTGTCATGTTTCTGTCTTGTCTTTTCCTGCCACTCACCCTCCCTTCTCCCCCCGGCTGACCTCTGTCCTTTCTCTGATTTTATGTCTTGGTGGACAGTAATGACAAGTACAACTTGTTTGAGCACAACTGCAACACTTTCAGCAACGAGGTGGCTCAGTTTCTTACGGGCAAAAAGATCCCGTCGTACATCACAGACCTTCCATCTGAAGTACTATCCACGTGAGTCTACAATCTTGAATTCCTAATGTATATGTATAACTGGCCAAATAATATAATATCAAACCAAAACCAGTCCACCAATTTGTCGAGACTTGAGATGCAACTGTTGAGCAATTTTGGTTTTCATCTTTGCAAGTTCCGTAAGGTAAGCGATTTGACGTTTGGCTCAGGTCACTTAGTTTGGATGACTCCGACTCTTGTCAAAAGTACAGTTAATACCCATCCACGTGAAAAGACGTCAATTCATCTTTCCCAATTTTAAGATTCTGTAAATAAAATGATAATTAATTAAAAAAATATTTGGCTGATTAGTCAGTGACCCCTGAATTTTTATTTGTTCTCATTCATTTATACAAGGTTTTTTAAAAATCCATCACACATCTGTAGATTAACCAAAGTGAAAGAAGTAGAATTAGGTTAAAAAGTTATTACTAGGAAAATAATAGGGCTGTCCCCAATGGCCATATTTGGGTTTCGGAGCTTTGGTAGTAATAACTGTGGAATATTCACCCCGAGTGTGGTGGTGGTGGGGCTTTAAACAGCACAGTCCTTTTCAGACATGAGATACGTAACATTGCTGCCTCATCAGTCTGTTAAAGCAGCAGCTCATTCAAAGACGGGACACTTTTATGTTAATGTTCTTCAGGGCTTCACTCAGACATACCCATGTCATTGGACAAGAAAAAGGCACGGGGACCGTCTACAAAATGCAATGAAAACAGAGCCTGCTATAAAAATGTTCACTCTTAGGGTAGCCTAGTGTCACTAAGATCACTTAATGCATCACTGGTCTTCTGTTGGTTGTACCACGACACTCAGTTTGGAAAAATATGCATAAGAGTGATGCTGTTGAATATTTTTAAAGTACCTCTTCTCTGTGTTGTACTTTGTACACTGTCCCTGCACATCCGTCTCACAGCCGACTGCACATACGCTGTTTCACCAAAATGGCTTGTTTTGATGAATGTTAGGTTGTAGCTCATTGTCTATCTGCCTTACTAAGTAAAGAGGCATTGTTTGTGTTTTAACAATGTTTCACTTAATGACTTATTGATCCAGGAACATAGACTCTGTGAATATTTTGTCCTAGGATTGGCCTTATGCTGTTTTATTAACTTCTGATATTTTGAAGCAAGAATGTCACCATTTAGAATATCTGGTCATCTAGGCTGGTTTGGAGATTTGCTCCAAACGTTTTCAGTTTTCAGAGTTGTGAGTACCAGCTAGTGGACCAAGCTGTCTCCATCCTGTTCTTGTTCCTCTTCATCATCAGACTCAGATTGCACTGAAATTTCCTGCTGTCTCAAATATTCGAATAATAAATTAAAAAAACAATTACCTACCCAATGAACGAAAATCCGAATAGTCGAATATTTGGGTCCAGCCCTAGAAAATAGTAAAATGACTCACCTCCAGTAAATCAGTCCACCTCAAATAAAAGCTGGGCTGTACTGAACATCCCAGGCTGATGGTGCCCCGTATGAGAAGATGTGATGGTTGATTTTGCTCATACCTTTCACAGGAGGTGACACTGAAACAATATTGCATTCATATTTATTGCATTAGTTATGAAACATGAATAATACAAAACAGTTTGCTTACAATAGTATTGAAATAATGTTGAAATTGTAGTTATTGTGCCACTGTGACTTCTGTCTGGTATTCCTCTCTTTCTGGCTCACTCTCTCTGTCTTTGTCTTAAGACTGTTGTCCTGTTGTGCTCAGTCTGTTTATTGTTCCCCCCTTTTTGTTCTTGAGACCCTTCGGTTTCAGTGTAACTGTACTGTCTGCTCTGTTTTCTCTGTAGGCCATTTGGCCAGGCTCTCCATCCCTTACTGGATTCCATCACCATAAATCCTGGAGGCGACAACATAACTGGACAACGGTAGACAGGGTTGTGCCCTACCGTAACCTTAAAGAAAAATACTTTTATTTAGGTGGTTTGGGTGAGAATGGGACATTGACCACCAGTCACCAGCCAGATCTTGAACTTCTGTGACTGTGGTTAACCTTTTCTTTTTGGTGAATTCAGCTACTAGTTCAGGTTTGGCACATTCCACATATCTGAGATTTTAATACTATAATCAATCACAATGTGTATTTTGCTACAAATTCAGATGGCATTCAAAAAAAAAAAAATCTGTTACTACTCCAACAAATGTAGAGGATTATACAACCTCTAAGACTACAAGACCCATTAATACACATTAAAAACACAGTTCGTACCAAAAGAACTGTGATCAATTATAATGAATCCCTGATGACAACACAGAAACCCAGATGTGCATGGTAAACTCATGGTAAATGTATGAAAGTGAAGGGAAAAGGATTCATCTCGTAAGAGGCAGTGAGCTCTCCCCACTGACATGGGGACTTAAAGGACAAAAGACAAGTATTTGCCAGTGGCATGATAAGGCTAGGGAATAGGAGTCAGACTCGCTGGTATAGCATTGTAAGATTAGTGCTGGTTATATACTGAGTTCTGTATCGAAAAAACCCATTAATCATTTAGTCCCTTTTAGTATATTTTAATGTTTTAAGCAGATAAAGCCTCTGTTATTGTCATCTTCTCATATCTGAGCCTGTACACAGTCAATCAATGTGTGGACTGTTCTTCTCACACTTCTTCAAAGACTGTCATAATAAAGGACCTTAAAAAAAGGATGCAGATTCACAAGAGCACTGGGAATCAATTGAAATACAAATCTGGGGGATGCAAAATGATTTGGTTAAACCAGGGGAAGCACTCTCACAAACTCGTAGCTGCATCTGGTTTATCACACTCAGAGTAGATATCTACTCTTTGTAGGCCCATGGCCCCAGAGGTTGGCACACATTAAACATAGTGTCAGGCTGTGTTTATTTGAGATACTTTATAAGAATTTATCAGAAATATTCCACAGTGTTACTAAATTCTTCTCCTAAAGTCCTGAATCCACAACTGGATCTTGTACCAAAGATTTTGGTCCACACGTCAAATTTTGTAATGTACCAAAAACAGTACTGCAACAGTAAAACAAACAAACAAACAAATCTTCTCTGAGAGAGGTAATATCTCTTCCCTTCAAAACCTTAGACTGGTTTCTTTCCTATGGAGTTGAGGGTCATCTGAATGTAAATTGAAACCCACCACTGCAAGGGTATCTGTGTGGTTACTGCTTGGACCCTTCTTATAATTACTCTTCTTTTTAATGTGTCAGTTTCTCTTTTGATTTGTTTCCACCACGGCCATTAATATGACAGGTTCAGTGGACCAGAGTAGGTTAGAGCTGGTCTGTCTTTGTATTCAGTGCTTCAGAAAATAATCCGACCAAGTTTAAGGCCTAGTGTTGAGAGATTCTGAGGCACTTGCTTCATTCAGAAACAGCATAGTATTGTGTGTTTTTGAAATACAGGACCAATCATCTGTATTGTATTTACATGACTAAACCAGGCATAGTAAATTATATGTGCTGCTTTTGTTAAGTAACATTCACTTATCCATTATTCCTTAAGGAAGAACATTGATGCCATGTCATTCTCAGTTCAGGTGAAAACCTTTTGTGAATAAGTAATAGTTTCCTTTTCTGTCATTTTGAACCTTGTTAGTACTGTTTAACCTGCTGCTGTTACACCTACTTAATCTTGTTAAGAGTGTCAGCAAGTCAGAAGTATCATTAACAAAATTTTGCAAATAATGCAAAAGACCTCTGAAATCACGTATAACTGTCTAAAATCTGAATGTATAGGAGCTTGATTTTTTTTTTTTACTTAAAATGTTGAATTTGATTTAATTCAATTCTTTATTTTTGCACATAAGTGAACCTGTTGGAAAAGGGCAAATAAACTCCTGTTTAATAACTGGTCATACCTCCCTACAGAGAGAAATGAACAGAAATGATTTTTATATTTGTATAATTAAAACATATTAAAATTTACTGACACCTTGCACTTTGTTAAATGTGTGACATTTGAAATTTGACTCAAGTTGTGGCATTAAAATATCCCTTATTTTTTAAAATTACCATATTCTGAACTGATTTCTTTAAACGTCACATTTTAACAGCACAGTATAAGCAAAGGAAAGCAGCAGTGTTTGCACTCTGTTGGTAAAATAGCTAGATTAAGATTTCAGGACACCACCAAGTGCTCTGGGTCTATGTAGTACCAACACCAGCCACAAGGTGACACTACAGGTTCACTATTGTGGTGACATCTTATTCATGCCACAGTACATCGAGGCATCATATAAATCCTGCAAGTTTTACATGTGTAAAATTGATGAGGGAGTTAGTGGGGCATTCTTGTGATTGTCACTGCCTCAAATCCCGGCTGGGAAATTCCTGTAGATGTAATATACAGTAGCTACTGTCAGGTGGACCCTGAGTCTTGAGGCCTTTTCCCTCAACTATTCAAAAGAAGCCACTGACAATGAAAGAGTATTTGTGCTCAGTGAAATTTCCCTTTTATAGGTGGCTGTTAATTATAACGGTTGCTTTTGGGTTTTATTCCTATCAGTTCGGCAGTTCTCTCAAACCGTAACGTCAGTTTTTACCACAGGCCATGTTGTCTCATGATCATGTCTTGCTTGTAACTTGATTAGACAAAAAAGCTGCCAAGTTCATTTCTGCTACAGGGAGTTTTGTCTGCGTTGAGTGTTTTTAGTATCAGCAGACCCAATTAAGGTTCATTCTGCTTGTTGAAGCGTTTGGCCCACAAGAGTCAAAGCTCCATTGTCTCTGGCACAAACACAAGACAAACCACTGCCTCATATTAATTGTACAGCCTTTAATATTTCATCTTCAAAAGTGGCATCAGTTACTAAACAATCCTTTTGTAAAGAATAATTTTGGGTATAAATTAGTTTTTTGCGGCATACTGTATATCACACAAAAACACTTTGGATGAACTTTGCTGTCATAACTTGTATAAAATATTTATCATACTTCCATTGCCTTATATATTTTGCAAGATGTTAACCTGCAGAGGTTCATCGTGCCAAAAACAAAACATTGACAGGGCTGCAAAAAATTCCTTAGTGTCATATGCTATAGAAATTCTCTTATAGTGCGTTTGCCACTAATGTGAAAACCCAGTACAAGAATATGACGTACTGTGCTATAGGCCTACTTTAACCTCATCTGTTGCAAATTAGAAAATTGCACAACTGAAGTAATATATATCTTTTAAATGCTGTTTCATGTTACTAAAATCATCAACATGAAATAATAAATTCTATTAATACCTGACACTGACAGCAGTTGTAATAACTTCCTAACGTTGTTCAGTTATACAGCCCTTATTTAAACAAAACAAATAGGAAATTTCATGGAATAAACATGTTTCCACAACATTCGTAAAGAAAACGGAACACGATGTTTGCATTAGCTAAAAACCTAAAAAAAAAAATTCCATGTTTTCAAAAGACTGAATTACATTAGACATTTATCATACATAGGTGAAAAAGTGGTTTGTTTCACCTGCAAAGAACAGAAGGATACTCTTGTGTTAGGTGGAGGAATTCATGATTTCCTACAAAAAAAAACAAAAAAAACCAAACATTTGGAAGCACTTGTTCACAGCAAGGAACCAAAACTCTATTGTATATAAAAAGTGATTTTGTGTATCAGTATTTTTAACTCACATCATCGAGCATTAAGAGGAAATGATGCCTGCTCAGGATTCTCTGTTGCATTGTGATTAATTACAGACCACTGACTATATATATGATGGATGACGTGTCACCACTTTTTTACATTTTGCAAAAGTGAAGTCAAAATATCACGAATACAATAGCTGTCCTCCTCCTTTTCTGCAACCAGATTCTGTGCGGTAGCGACTAAGAGTGGAGTGATAGCATCAGAGCTTCAGTCAAAGCCGTCAAATCAACCAAAATACACCTCTTTTATATCATCAATTAACTTATTAAGAACAAACTCACCAGGAAAATGACCACTTGTACACACATCAGTGTGATAATATCTACCAAAAACCACAGAAGTGACCTCTGGGAAAAATTTGGTTTGTACTTAAGAGTTTTAATTTGGCTCATGTCCCATCCACTAACACAGAGGTTGGCTTTATGACTTATACTGCAACCAGCCACCAGGGGGCGGTTGAGTCATGGTGGCTTCACTTCTGAGAGCTGTCATGATGTCCGTCATACAGCATATACAGTCAATGTTATAGACACAATTAACTTTGCATAAAATTATGAGAACAAAAACCATAAAGAAGAGATGTGTTCAGTGAAAAGCAGATGTTTGGTTTGTTGACTGCAGTAATGTAATATATTAACACTCCCTAAGTGGTTGTATAGTAAAATACTGTATAGTTAAAGTACTGTATATTTGGTTGTGTAAACTTATATTCTTAATCAAGTTTTATCTTTTTACATACCAACCACAATACTGACTGGCATTTGAAGTCATAGTATTAATATTACTTAGATTGTCTTATTGTATTAAATAAATCTAAGATGGAAACTTCCCCAAAGCCTGGAGCAACTCCAGTCATTTCTACTAAAAGAATCCAAACAGCTTTAAAACCAGAATACTCTTTGCACAAGTTTGTAAAGCTGCTATGATTTCATGCTAACAGTGGATCAAATATCAAGTGTAATGTGAAAGGGGTTACTCATAGTAGCAATCTTAGAGAGAATTATCACCTGCCTCTGCAGTGTTTTGCAGCCCTGTTGTTCATTTTAGCATCTTTTTGCTGTTTTGGTTTTCCGACCTGCAACTTTACTGTTTTGATTCCCTCTCACTGCTCTCGTTGCATCGTTTTAGCTGCTCTCTAAAAACCCACAGTAGGCTACCTGCTCAACATTGAATGACACTTAGCACCTAACTAGTGAACATAATGGGGCATTTAACAGCTAAGGAGCTGGATGGATATCTTCCCACAGGAGTAAGCAGGGACCAAACTAGAGCAATATACATCCTTTTGGCCGTCGTTCATCGGATGGCCCGAAATGCAAATCAAAATGAATGCTAGTTTTGCATTGTATCTCCTCGATGTGTAACTAGGAAACTGTTTGTTATCATGTTCATCATGGCAACTTAAAAGGTGATAATATGTCAGTGTTGGTTACAGCTTGTTTCCACTGCAGTGAAGTCTAAGCTAGCACCTGTGTGTGTGTGTGTGTGTGTGTGAGAGAGAGAGAGAGACGTAGAGACCCTAAAAAGGTTACGCTAACTGTTGAGCTTTTTGTGGAGAAAAAAATAACATCACTTAATAACATCTGCTGATAGAAGAATGCTTTTGTTTATCAATTACTGATTCATCTTTGTGGGCAAAGAAAGCTGATACAGAAAGTTTTGGTTGAATATGGTGGGTTTTTGTGGTGTTAATGTCGTAGCACTGGGCTTTGTCCACTGACTTTGCTCTTGGCTCAATGCCACCTGTATTTATCTTGTTTCTTGATGTTTAACTAAGCTGCTCCAAAACCAACTCATACTTAAAGATATAGCATCATGAAATCCTCTCAGCTCTTCCAGCACAAGTATTATTACAGAACCTTATAAAAGCATTTCTGGACATGTGCAATCATCATTAATAGTTCACTTCAATGTGCTCTTCCTGAGGGTGTCACACATGTAAACCATCACCCAACACCTACAGTGGAAGTGTTGCATTAATTCTTGCACATTCATAGCAGCAACCACAGCTTTGCACAGTGTCCTTTGCTGTCCAGCCTTCAGAGACAAAATGAGAAATATTCAATGCTCCAGGTGTGAAAATGCCTCAGTGAATTCCCCTGTAATGGTGCCTGCAGGTTGGAAAACACACACAGGCATCCACACACTCTGAGTTATGACAGTTTAGGAGTGAGAGACCCAGATTTGGAATGACTTGTGTACTTTCCTTCCCCCAAGGAAAAACAAAAAACATGCGTAGGCCATGTATGTTTATTTTTCTGCTTTTCTCTTCAGCCTTTCTCATCTTTTCTAAAGAGTCCCAGCCTCTGGCTCTTACACTGTCCCTTTGCTCTTCTCCTTCTCTCCAGTGAGGATGGAGGCTGATGGGAGCTGACACGATGGTGGCATTGTCTGCTCCGTTGAGTTAATGTGACCCCGGGGATGTTGTCCCTGTATAGCTGGCTTGATGGCACAGAATGCAAAGCGCTTCATAGTGGACAAGAGGGTGGGAGAGGCCAAAAGGGGAGAGAAAGGAATGAGGAGAAAACAGCTGTGCATGGAGGTAGACCGAGAGATGCAAAGGAGTGGAGGTGTTTTTAAAAGCAAAACAAGAGAATAGTTATCAGGGAACTGTGCTGTGATACCTTTAGATAACTGATATATGATTATACAATATTGAATACCTTCATTTTTTTTCTGTGATCCAGCTAAGTAAGATATTTACTGTTTCATGGAGATCTAGATTTCATCAGCCTTCAAGGATGTAGTTGTGTGTTTTCAATATGATCATGTCAGGAAGGTCCTCTGATGATTATATTTAATGATTATATTTAATATTTAGTCCCTTGCTCATAACCCTTACACTTGATTTACAACCCCATGCCGTCACCATTACAATTAACAATTTTCATAAATTATTTGGCCGGGTGCTAAGATTTTTAGTGGAATCTTAATATTGTGCTGTAAATCCAAATGAAAATCTGCAATATTATTCCTGTGTTTTCAGGTTTATGTTGATCTTCTTCTCTGTTTAGTTAGTTTGTTAGTTGTACATAGTGTTGTGTTTTGATTAGTGTAGCTTAGAGAACCAATTTGTCATTTTGGTGAAAACAGAACAAAGTGTGTTCATTTTTCTGCCGAGCGTTACATGACAAGATCAAGACCACTCTCATGTTTGTACACTACATATGAAGTTGATACCAGCTACTAGTTAATGTAGCTAACATAATGATTGGAAACAGGTGGAAACTGCTAGCTCTGTCTAAAGATAACAAAATCCACCCATCAGTGCCTCTAAATCTCATTAACACACATTTTGCTTATTTAATAATTCATACAATAACCAAAATGTAAGAAACAGTAACAGTAATTTCCAGATGTCTTGTCTCACTGTTGTCAAGCTAAGCTAAGAAGCTAGCAGCAGTAGTTTTGCTTTTAGTGTGCAGATATGAGAGTGGTATGGACCTTCTCATCTGAGAAAGCCTACAAATGTATTTCTCAAAATGAAGAAGTATTCCTTTAAGGGGATAGGAGTAGATGTAGTAGTAAATTGATGTATTCAGTATATTTATTTAATGTATCCAGGGTCGTATTTCCTCCTCTCACACTTTGGAGCATTTACTAGCACAGGGTTGTCTCCCATATCACTTTTTCATTTCAAAACTGATCCATTTTGTGTCTGCATCTAAGAAAAAGTTGGCTGGGCTAGCTAGCTAAGAGCTGTACAACTGGTCATTGAAATTATGAAATGAAATTTTTGTGAGTTCTTGAGCACATTTAGTAAATGCATAGCTTTGTAAATGAAAAAATAAATTAATAATATTAAATATTAATTTTAATTTAACCCTTTGCAGTACTACTCTACATCCCACCAGATGGCGCTCTGAGACCCACCAGTGGGCCCATCCCACTGGTTGAGAATGGCTGGTGTAGAAGGACATTATTTATATTGATACCTCCAAATTTATGAGAATGGTTCCAGAGATCAAACACCTGTGGATAAGCCACAGAGATAGATCTTAAAAGTTACAAGCTAAAGTCGCATTAAAGTAGCTGCATGTTCAAACTGAATGCCCATTTGATTTGACAGTGTTAGGGAAAGTATGACCCGCTGGTTTCAGTATTTGTCAGTTCCAGGCTCCTTGTGGAATGCTTTTTTTTTTAACAACCAAACCTGATGATGAGTCAGGTTTTTTATGCACTGCACTGATGACCTGCTACCTAAACCTAACCAGAGTTACCTGACGAACACAAACTCATCATTCCTGCCAAATTTGACCTGAAATCAGCATATAAAACCTCATCACTCTATGAGTTGCTGCAAGTAAGACTGTTGCCATTCGGTTCTATCCCTGTCTGTATTCCTACAAGGCCTGTGCAGCCATAATTATGAAACACATTGTAGTGAATAAACCATAGTGGTTGAGAACTGATCAAGGCCATGTGACTTCCTTTCAGGTAGTGTCTGTATACTTTATATGACCAATGTACAGGAGCCTTGCTAGAGTCTGAGTCCAATAATTTGTTTATCTCCTCAATCTCTTTGTTTCCACTTATTGAAACATCCCTTTACATCTGGTAAGTCAGAATATGTCTCCCTGTTTAATATTCCTCTCCTGTTGGGCCAACTGTCTGTTAGGGTGATTTTCATTTCACCAAAGCTTTTTGTTAGTGTGTTCAGTACTGCAGCATACTGTTCTGAGGCCTTGCTACTTAGACAGTCACCTCATTTGTACTGTGGGTGTAGTAGCTCTTCGGCCTGGTGTGGTGGTAGTAGGATGATTGAGATGGATGTTGCCCGTAGACATGCTGCCCCTGCCCTGCTTCCCCTCCAGCTCCACCATACATCCCCCCACAGGGCTGACTAAAGAGATTCGGCATGTTCTCTGTGCTCTGCTTCCTCTTTATCGAGTAGCCATGACTCTGTCCATGACTATGGACGTGGCGGCCAGTTGGCTCCCAGGCTTTGAAGGCTGAGCCGGAGTAGAGCGGGTGAGTGGTGGTCTTAGGGAGACGTGAGTGCTCAAGGTAGCTGGAGGCGATGGAGATGGAGAGAGGGGAATGGAGGTCGTGGTGTGCTGGCAATGGCTGGTGGATGTAGGACTTCTGTTTGGGCTGCGCCGGCACTGACTGGAAGGCAGGAGGCGCCACGGGCTGGTAGTGGGAGAAGTCCATAAGTGGGAAGCTCTTGTAGAAGCCATGAGATGCACTGTCCGCTGCAACAAAGAAAGGAGCATTTATCATGAAAACATAAGATCTTTCCAATCGATTATAGCTTGGATCATTTCATGGTTAATTGCAGAAGTTGTACACTGCAAGAATCATGAGTGGGTTAGAAAAAATGAACACAAACTGTAGAATTATCAGTCAAACTGTCCACTGTAAACCAGTAAAAAGAAACATTACATTTGATTTGTGCTCTACCAAACTCTCTTTAGGCAGACACTGACTTTGATAAGCTCACTTTTAGTTTCATCTCCAAAAAAGTGATTTAGATAGTCAGACAAAAAATGTTGTCTTATTTACAAGCTACAGTTTTGAATCGTTTCTTTCTTTGCTCATCGTAGTTTGTTGTAATAGTGTTCCTATAGTAATCACAGTAACAATCCTCTCATAACCAGTGATTAAAGCAACAAAATTAAATGGCCAGAAATAACCCTTTAACCTACTGTTAAAGGCTCTGTTTGTATCCTTTATCAATTAGTCCAGCAAAGCAAACACATGTTAAATTTGGCCTCTAAACTTGTTTATACTTTAGAGTAATTTTCAATTTGTCACAGATGTAGTTCTGAGTCACATGCAGTCATAGCCTAAAATGAACTGTCACTGTGCAAACACAGTCTGTCACTGTATGAGCTGAATCATACTTAATCCATGATGCATTTATGTCAAGACCTCCTGGCATCAAGCTGTCAGCAGTGTCTTCTTCATTTGGTCCTTGATGAATTTTAGACACTTTTAAATACACTTGGGAAATGTGATGTTAACAGCGTGATGGTACAGAAAACAAGCTAAGTAGTAGGAAGGTAGTAATAAGATTAAAACAATGCCTTGTGGGAAGAGTCAAACCCATCAGAAGCACAAAAAAAGAAGTTGTACTCTTCTCCCATCACAAATAAATTGGACGGCCTTGGTCAGAAAATGTGACATTCAGAAATAAATCATGAGGGAAAGATAACGTGTAGAGAGCAAGTGAGAAGCAGGTAAAGGAAGGTGAGGAGTAAGAGGGAGGGTTTGAAGAAGATCAAAGGGGGGAGATTAAAATGTTTCTGATTGGTGTATGCCCTCAAGGTGGATCGTAGTGGTAGGCTGTTCCTCTTTTTCTGGGACGTGAGAGGGCAGAAGGCAGCGAGAATGATGAGGAGGAAGGAAAAAACTGAGGAGTGGAAGGCAATGATAGTGGCACGTATAGTACGACATAGTAATGAAGGTTTATAAATACTCTCGCCCTGAATCCGAAATGTACATGTGTATATGTATGTGTATGTCTTGAGTAGGAGTGTCACATAGAAGTATTTAAATAATCTACACAGTGAGGTCATCTTCACAAGCTTGCTAATGCTTCCTACATGAACTGTAACCTTGTGTCTATGTGTGCTTTCACCAGATTGTCCAAAAGCGACTCAGTGACCTATCTTTTATCAAAAGCTGCTGCTTTTTTTACCCTGTAAAAATGCCCTGTTTGCAGACTGTTTGATAAACATGGGCAGATCCAGGGGGTGGCCAGTGGTGGCACCGGCCACCCCCTGGATCCGATCACTCATAGTGCCACCTCTGTCAGAATCAAAATGTTATGCTTGTAAGTGTTAATGAATGAAAAATGAACAAAAATGATTAATTGTTGCCTTAAATACAAGTAATATGTTTCTGGTGCTTTATAATTTATATTGGTCAAATTATTTTACGCCATGATATTTGCATTCATTTCTCTGACCAGAGAGTTAGCCAAAGAAAGCACTATGCGTGCCTCATTTTTACACAAAATAAACCATTTGATTCTTAATATATAGTTTATTATTTCCTAGAGCAATTTACTTTTTAAATGCATTTTAAATGTGCTACCCCCTTCCAAAAATTTCTAGTTCTGCTCCTCTGTAATGTTGTGTGTGTGTGTGTATATAATAAATATTGTAAACTGTGTGCATTATTTGAAATCTGTTTCAGTGCTCTTGACAAAGTCACCTTACCTTAGAAGTTAAATCATACCTGTCTGTAGAGACAGTCCCAAGTGTAAAGAATGTACGTACTGCCTGTAAAGACAGTTCAGAGAAGGGTACTCTCTCCATTAACTGTCCATGGACAGTAAAGGTAAAAAAAAAAATCCACCTTGACAAGCAGTGCCACTGGCTGGCTGGTAAAGCATTGTTTTGTTCTAATGGGAAACCTGGAGATGGATGTAGTTCTGTTACACACACTGTTATTCAAAGCCAACGTGTGTGTGTGTGTGTGTGAGAGAGAGAGAGCCTTGCTGACGCTAAACAGCCTGTACTGTCAGCTGCCAAACACCCTGCAGCCTGTTTTCCAGGCTGTTGATGCTTTGCTGCTACACTACAAGATCTTTACAAAACCACATCTGGAGGCATCATAAAAAATGGAGTGTTACTAAGCAAAACAGTGACAAGTACAACAACTCCTGCACTACTGTGATTTAAAGGTTACTATGTCATTAGAAGTCATCATCATTTTGTATGTGTGGGTGTGTGTTTGACTTACCCACAGCCTTAAGGGAAGTATATTTGTTGAGCCCCACTGTGCTGTGGTTGCTGTGTGTGGGTGGAAGCACTTGTCCAAATGGGCCATAGGCCGCGTTATTCAGATGGTACTGTTCTGGTGAGAGACAGGCAGAGTCAGGAAGTGGTAAATACAGTATGATTTGAAAAACAAGCAACAAACCTAACTTTTAAAATGTGTCCCTTCATATTGAAGCAAAACAATCTATAGTCCTGAGTGTCCTTACACTCCACCAAAAATGTCTTATTTTTCAGTCACAAGCTTCCTTAATGTTAGATTACATAACCCTGACAAGGAAACATGTAGCATCCTCTGAGGCAGAAATGTACTGCGGCCCCTACTGTGCAGTTTGTAAACACTGACATCTTCAGGTACCCATTGTGCACATAGCAGAGTACATGTGGCAGATTCATTACAGTTTACCTACAGCCCCAGATCCCAGTTGATGTTGCTCACTGTTGCTGTGTGCCAAAGTCTTGGGGCTCGCTCATCGACATCACTTAACCCTGGAAACCTCCAACAAGAAACTGTTCCCTGATCTAAGAGCTCTCGGGGGATGATGCCATTGTACAAGTTCAGTGAGGTATTCTGGGGCCATGCTATGCAAACTTAAACTGAATCCTAAAGTGAACGGGCAACCAATGAATTTTCAAGTACCTGTCAAAAGATTTAATTTGTGGTTAAAAACATTTTTTAAACCAACATAATGAGCATTGCCTTTTGGGCCATTGGGGGTCTTCGGTAGTTCCCAGCACTGCAGAAAAAAAATCCAGTAACACTATCACTGGACTGCCACACATCACATGCCAAAGTTATGTGTGGCAATAAGACCCCAGAGGAAAAAAATTGCAAGGACACTGAAAGTTAAAGTCCAAGGTATGCTTGAAAATAACAAGTTTTTGTGAAGTGCCGTTCAGCCGCATCTGAAGCCAAAGTGTTAGGTGTTCCAGCTGGTGAAAAGCCAGCCATCATTGGCAGGTGCAAGACCTACAATTAGGAATAGGGAAGGCACAGACTCTTGCACAGTCTATCACAGTGTTGCACTCAGTTATTCAAAAGGTTGATAACCCTGCATTATTTCTCCGCTCCTCACATCTGGCTAATTGCCAGGTGAAGTTTGTAGGTTTGTCTAAGGATTATTTTCCAAAGTTATAAAAATTGCCAGATGTATCTTCTTCTTAATTGCAGCATGGTGCAGGAGGAAGAGGAACGCTGCTTGAGCATCTGACATGCACTTAGTTTAAAACATACTGACACCTTAAGGGGCCCTGGTGCACCAAGCCGATAGTTGGCTGTTGAAGGTGCTGGGCCATCATTAAACATCTGTGGCTGATGCTTACTCCATCGTTGGGAGTCAGTGGTTTCTCCTTACTGTTTTTGCCTTGCTCCTTTTAAACTTTTACAAGCAAGAGACCACCATTTCACAATGCAGGCACAAAACAGTTTCAACTGAAGAAACAATTTAAACAGCTTTTCAGTGCAATAAAAATTATTCTCAAATTAATATTGTTTGTATTTCCCAGAGGATGTTTGTGCTACACTGATTAGTTCCTTTCTGTCACTAATGCACAGACATAGTGGCGGTCAGCTAGCCTTCAAGTTGTGTTGCTATGTGCTTAAACCCGTCAGCTTGCTGTGTTAGAGCCATAATGGTTGTACTGGGAAAGTCTCAGGTGGGGATGTGTGCTGTGGAAATACCACATAAATGCACGTCTGCCTTTTATCTTGAGGCTGGAGACTTTGGTCCAGACAGCCAGTCCATTGCTAAATGGGCTGAGGTTAATGAACAATGGAACAAACTAGCTGAGAGAGTGAAGGCCTGGCTATTAGTAGTAATGATGTCCACTGATGCAGCCAGAGCACTTGATGTCAGCCCCTGGCATGGACAGACACACATACAGCACTTATGAATGTTCACAAGCACGCTCACACACACAATCAACATGCTTTATAAGGTCATTTGGAAGAGGAAAAACAAAATCAGCTGTATTAGCATTATTTCTGTGCCCTTTTTGTGCTTTCAACTGACAGATATTTTGAATGATTTAAGCTGCAAAATGTATGGATACGTCCAGGGCCGGGCCTGGGGCTGTTGGCTGGCTGCCACACGAAGGAGACGCACAGGGTGAAAGAGTCATGTGTGGTTCAGATGATGAATAAAGAGTAGAACTGGTGGAAGAGAGACAGAGAGGGATACAGAAGATGGCAGGATGTTCTGGTGGAATAAATTAGAATCCAGGGGCAGACAAAGGTCAAGAGCTTCAGTAACAGCATTTAAACTTAACAACTCAGCATTCATGTACACACACTTATCAAAGCATTGCGTGTTGTATTTTAGCTGATTAGCCAGCGAGATGTTTCACCTGTTGTAGCATGTGTGTGTGTGTGTGTGTAAATTCATCCATTGTAATCCAGTGGTGCTGACCTCTCTGCTAGATTAATAGACTGAGGAAATAAAATCCTTCTTATAATGTCATTGTCATCATCATCTATTAGCTTCTTCTAATTATATCTTTGTCTTTTCTTCCTCATGAAGTTGTTAGAACAACAGTTCATAACCAAGAGATCCCAACGCACTGGTACTGATATTCACTGGTTGCCATGAGGAGCTCAGGTGTCTCTGATGTTGTGTGTGTGTATGTGGAGGCAGCTATTGATAGAAGAAGCTTTATTTTTTATTGTCATTGTAACAATACAATGGAGCCGAGGGCCCCGGGCTGCTGTGTGCATACGCACCGCCATCACGAGCAACTTGGGGGGCTTCAGGCACCAAGATTCGAACTTACAACCTTCCGGTTGGGAGACGACTGCTCTGCCCACTGCACCACTGTCGCCCCCATCGCTCATCATGAGGCAGCACTGAAAACGCCACTTAGCTCTGATTACTGGTAGAAAGCATATGACTGTCCTCTGTAGGTTTTAAAAAAATGTTTTTTAAATTTATTTAAAAGTTTTATTTAGTTTTTATTATATCTTCCTGTCAGATTTCTACCACCACCTCTTTCTCTCTGGGTAGCATCTAACCTGTTTCTGCTTTAACATTTAGACAATTTAGACAATCTCCAGCACGCCTCTGAATCATGATGTGGAGAAATGACAGTTTTTCTAGTGTTTCTGTTATTTGTAACTTGTAAAAACTACAAAAGTGGTTCCAAATTATCATCCTTTATCAATTATTTTTGTAGGAGACCTATAAGTGAGTCAGTCTGCTTGGCTGCTTCCTATTTTAGTGTGTGGTTTCAGTGATTGCATAATGAAATATGTATGTAATTACTGTATATATGCAGTGCGTGTGTGTAAACATGTGGAACAGTAGCTGGGGGATTTAGGAACGATTTTGGTTCGTTCCACTTTAAACTTCCAGCATGGTTGCACATATTAATTTCTTCATTAAGCACCACCAAATGAACTCCTGGCATTGGGATCTTTCAAGCGCAGTACAAGAGGGCATTGCTGCTTAATGAGTTATGTAATATCTTTGAGAATGGCAGGCAGTGATTAAGGTATAAAAAAACAAAGATGAGTCTTCCTCTGTATGTGCTGCATGTCTCAGTTTTGGACAGAGACACAGAGTAACCACCAGTTGTGAGAAGCTACTGCCAGATTTTCCTTCAGGGAGTCTGATGGACCTTTTGCCATTTGCCATTGTCATTATAAGCATTTTTATGTCCCTTTGAGAGAGTCACTGTGTGGATACCTGTGTTGTATCTGGGCTTGTGACTCTACTAGAGGAGGCTCTCTGGTGTGTGTGTTCACTGTGGTTATTATTACTGTCTTTCTGCCCTAAATGTCTTGTTAAGTTCTGAGTACACTCCTGCTATTGGCGAGCCTGTGCGCTGTGTTTACTTCCACTGCAGAGGAATAAATCTAATTCATATTCTTTTATCTGCTCTTATTAGGTTTACCATCACTAACACTGCCAGCCTGTGGGGCCACAGCTAGCTAATGATTTGCTTCTCAACTCGGATCAGCAGTTGTCAGAGGCAGGACAGTCAATTTACTTGTCTAGCACAGTTTTAGCAGAACCACAAATGATGCTGTGGAAGTAGGACTTTTAGACTAAGATTCATTTTTAGGTCAATGGTTAAAAGTTTTTAGGAGGAGTTAAGAGTTTTAAGTAACGGATTCTCTCTCACATGTGCACACAACTATAGCTTCAGCTTGCTGTTCCCACTGACGTGCTATTGTCACTGCTCATGACCGTGAAACACATATGTTTCTGTATATGTCGTGTGTATAAATGTGCATGGGTTTGTGTATAAAATGATGCATTAAAGGTGTCTTAAGTGCCTTGAGGAAAGTGACAAATGAGAGGGTGCACTGTGTGGCTTTTTGCCATCACCAAGATGAAATATGAATGTCCTGTGTGAGAGATAGACTTGAAAGCCAAGAATAAAGCCAGAGAGCGGCGTTTGCACCAGGTCTGTCATCAGTGAGATCATATATCAAAGTTGTCTGTGTGCATCATCTTTTACTGCAGCAGAGTCGGAGCAGACAAAGCTACTCTCTCCACCCCCACGTACTTTTATAATCCTCGCTTTGTGCGATCTGCTGAGTCGGTCCTACATATGCCTTTTGCCGGAAGCGTCAACATGACACGAGTGTTAATTCACTAAAATAAGCCATTTGCTTCTCATAATTCCAGGGCAGAGTTGTGAGCGCAGGAAAACGTTTTGGATGAGACGAATGTTTAAAAAGCGACACCTCTGACAGTTGGGGTAAAAGAACAAAAACAGATGGGAGAGAAGGAAAATTGAAATTTGTGTTACAAAGTAATTTGTTAGTGGGTCACACTGCTTCTGCAGTCTTCCCTGAGAAATAGGTCATTGTTGTTCACTTCAAGCGTTCCTTCCTGCAGTGAGTCATGTTTGTCAGACGTTCAGACCAAATACTTTTTAACATCAGCTGCTGATGGTTCATGTAAATCTCAAAAACTCTTTGACTTTAAAGATTTTTGACATTTGTAACCTTTAGTGTCTTTGGAACAAGAAGTTAATGTTTTGAGCTTCAGTATTGTGATGTATTTCCATGTGAAACAATATATGGACAGGGTTTTAAATCAAATCCTGGAGATTTTATTGGATTGCTCTAAAGTGGAGCATGACATGGAGCTCTACGGGACAGTTGGCCTCCACATTGCGTTGTTAGCTCAGGAGGAGAACAGTAACGTTAACATGAATAAATTAGATTAGATTAATTACAAAGTCACAAAACTGGCTCTAATCAATCCACATTAGCAAACAGCCACCACGAGCTATTGGTCATAGCAAGTGTTTAGCTAAACTCCTGAATGTGGTAAATGAGGCAAGAGGAAAATGTACTCATTTCTTCTTTCAAAAGTTATACGGTCCTGCTTTAATGTGAATATCAGCCACAGGACATCAGCAGGGCTTTTAACACTGGCCTCCAATCAGATCAAATGTGTTCAATGAACGTTACTTTTTCCTAAGGCCTCTTTCTGCCGCGGAAAAACCAATACAGTTCATTAGTTTTCTGCCCAGGCAATCTATGCAGTGTTCCACTTTGTCCTGTGGCTCAATTAGGAAACATTTTGCATTACATTTGTATTTATATGCCCAACTGATGTGTGTCCACAGTAAAAATACAAATGCAACAACTATTCTTACAACTGTTTATTCTTGCAGAGGTCAAGACTATATGAGGTTGAACAGAGGATGAAGATCTGGGACAGATAGAAGTGATTCATGATATGAAGCACCAATATGTGCTCAGATAGAGGATTTTATTGGAACAAAGATGCCTGCTGGGTCAGTTCTTTTGCTGTGTTTATTGACCACAAAGAGCCAGTGGACATTTTCCTTCTCTGAGAAAAAGTGGGTGTAATGGGCATAAATATGGGACACACTACCATCATTAGGCACCGTATCGCCATCAGCACTGATTCCTCTGCCAAGTTCCATGCCTTTCTCTACTGTCATCTCACATTGAGAAGTGGGCCCCCTCCTGCCCTCCACCAACATTTACTTATAGTTTGTTCATTCAATCTGCAGATTGTGCCACATGCTGTTTCATTTGCAAGACTCTTCTGTGTGCCTGTCGAGAACCATCTTGTAGTGTGAGATTGTCTGGCCCCCCCCAGAGGCAGCTGGATGATCCTGTCTATCGCCAAGTAGCAGCATCAATGGGGGATTTAAAATTCCTTGGTAAGCTTTTGACAGCTACTGCATCTAAGACTTAACCCTGGCAGTTCCTGCAGTATCTGTTATTAACATGCCAGTTGCTGAGTGTGGCACATTTGTCTCTCCAAAGGTTACAAATGGCTCAAACTGATTACATTGCATTGTTGTGCTTCATTCGTACTGCAACTCAGTACTATTAAATTTAGTAGAGTTGCATTTCAGAGGTTAAAACCACACTCAATAGCTACAGGGTGTTTTTCACTCTCTAATTTAGAATTTTAATTAGACAGAAGTAAAAATTTAAATTTTTGATGGAGTTTTTCCGATGTCAGGGTATACACACATGGAGACAGAGTATTTTGTTGGGCTGGGCTCTGGTGATGCTATAGTGTTTGGGGTTTGTTATGTTGAGCACATAGTTTACATGCTCGGCTATGACTGGACGGATGTCTCCTTTGTTTCCACGTCATTCTACTTTATCATGTCTCTATAACTCGGTGATGACATGTTGTCAAGAATTGGGAAATGGTGATAGGTTTCTCCTCCACTGTGTTGAAAAATCTCTTACTGGAGCAGAGCAGTAAAGACTTTCTTTTCTGCTTCTTCTTTTTTTGGGGTAGAGAACTATTTGCTTCCGTTTTTGCAGGATTCAAGATAATCCTGATTGACTCTTGCCCGGCTGTTGATGAACTCCATCACAGCATATTTGCATAAATTTGAGCTTTCCCAGCTCTGGACTGAGCTCCTTTTTTGTCTGGTACAGTGGGGTGTACTGACTGTACATTAAATTATGTCTGTAAATATAATTAATTTATTTTTGTAACTCAGCCCAGTTCCTTTAAATGACCCCAAACCCCCCCCCCTCTTATCTTATATGTTCAGTTTTTAACTGATATAGAAATGAAAAACCCACAAAAACAGAAACCCTGAGCTCATTGTTACACTCTGCCATGCCACGTTGGCCTCATTCCTGTTCCAGAGTCTTTGCTCCTTCTGCTAGTGTCATGTGATCATTAGATTTTTAAAAACACGAGGGACAGACTGGCAGCACACCAGCTTTTTCTTGTTTTCCAAAGCAACAACATGAAAAGCAGCAGTTTCTCTTCCTCCCATTGAACTTGTGTTTTAGTCGGTCTTTAATATGTATAGTATTTGTGCCTGTGTGGCTTTATGTGGTGTAAGAAAACATGGTGTAAATTGCCTCTAATTGGGGAAACTCAGTGAATAGGCAGTTCTGCGTATTTCACCTTCTTGGCTAGGTTCTTTTTAAAAACTCGAGGGAGCTCTGAGAGTTTTATTTCTGTCCAGGGGTTTCACTTGTGTGATACCTCTTCTCCATAAATAATTTAAATGATTCACTGTGTATTAAGAAAAGAGTGTCGAAGTAACCACCTTTCCTGAGCAAATCATCTGCTTTGATAATTTTAGGCCTTTTTTTTTTAGAATGTGAAATATTTTCACCACTGTCCTGGGTGCAGTTAAACAACACTAAGATTTCAAATATGAAGAGCATTGGGAAGGTTGCAGCAAAAATACGTTTAAAAGTTTTTGCTACAGATTGCTTAAAAAAAACAAAACAGATTAGTAAATTCTCCATGCAAGAATTTTTATTTACTTACCTACTTGAATGTTTGTCTTTCTATACAGTATGTGTTAGACTATGGACAAATAAGTGTAGACACACAGCTCCACTAACAGGGAAAATAGATGGGGTGTAATTCATAACAAATGCACCACTGCATATAAAATACTGTTCATTATGCAAATAGAGACAAAAACATCAGACGCACACTGCTGTATGGAAGCTGATGAGCTTCTCTGAAGTTGTTTTATGTGTTTGTTCAAAATATAATTTGCAATTTGCATGGAATGTGAGTGTACCGGAAACAAATTCCTTGTGTGTAACATACTTGGTCAATAAAGGTGATTATCTTATCTTATGTACCTGTGATTGTGTGTGCTCGTGCGTGTGTGCACACTCTCTCGACACTCACCACTCCTGCTGCGCGGCATCCTGGCTGAGATGCCATTGGCTCTCCCTCCAATGGGCGAGCTGGCGGTGGCGTTTTCCACTGAGCCTACCTCACCCCCCTGCTGCTTCAGCAGGTCTGTCAGTGTCCTGGAGACCCACACACACACACACGCACAGGTTGTAAATTAGTGCACAGCCAGTAATGTGATCCCCAGTGATATACAGAGTTGAATCAAGTTACACAAAAATGCAAAATTTGGTTTAGTTTAAAAATAGTTTTTATTGTCTTGAATTTCAAACAGACTGGCAGAAGAAGCAACACTGCTGACGACAGGTGCTTGACTGTAAGCGGTGTGTGCTGGAATAAAATAAGATGTTAATGTCAGGTGAAAAGTTTAGTCTCTACACTTTCACACTGTGTGGTCATATAGAAACCAGAGAGACCAGGAGCCACATAAAACATGATTTGTATCATTCCTCAAATTGGAAAGAAATAAAGAGCGATGATAAATTATTTATAGTTGAGTAGCAGCACAGCCTGATTCTAAAACTCCACCAGTCATTGACTCACACAACAAACATCAGTTATCTTTGCAGACGTGTATCCCCCGACAGGGGTTTCCCCAACAGCTGGAACCCCTTGTAGCCATACACACAAACACACACAAACATGCAAGCACCTGATTTTGGAAGTGAAAATTATATTCATCCATTCAAATTAATTCAGATCTTATTTATCTTATTGTGAATCCTTTTATATACACTGTGCCTGGTGTATTTGTGTGTATGATTGTGACATGACATTTTAAACATTTGCATCACACACACAACAAAATGATTTCAAACGCCGTGTGATCTCTCTTCTTCTGCTATAAAGATTTAAATCACTTTCTCTCTGCTTCTTTCTTTAGCTTTCAACTCTTTTTCCTTTCAGTCTTCTCATTCTTTCTCTCTCTGCCCCCTCCTCACCTAAACACAGCCTAAATCTGTCTCTTTCCC